AGACAGACACTAAATGATGCAAGCGTGGTGAGGGCCTGGAAGAAGCAGGGTTGAGAAAGAACGATGTCCTGGGGGTGGCAGGGAAGGCTTCTGTAAGCCCAGACGTAAAGGATGGGACAGAAGGGGACAGAAGGGGACAGCCGTGGGGAGATGGGGCCAGAGCTTTGCAGCAGAGGTCACTACAGAGCCGGGAGGTAGGACAGAGCTTGGCCAGAAGAGGAGGAAGATGAGCCATCGAGGCGAGCAGAGCGTGTGGGGAGGGTTGAGGTGGGCGGGCCAGGCCAATGCCAGATCCCGCAGGGCTCCGGGAAAATGAGTTGGGTTGTCAGCCGAGTGAAACAGAAAGCCACTGGAAGGTGGTCTTTTTTAAACTTTATCGAGGTATAATTTACATACCATAAAATGTACCCGTTTTAAGTGTACACATCAATGATTTTTAGTAAATGTACAGAGATATCTCAGCATCGCCTTAGCCCACTTTCAGGACATTCTCATCACCCCCCAAAGTTCTGTCGTGTGATTCCGTTTGCATTAAATGTCCAGAAAGGCAGATCTGGGGAGACAGGAAGCAGATTCGTGGTTGCCTGGGGTGGGGGGCGGGGTGGGAGCAGGGGTGTCTGGGGACAGTGGGGAGGATTGAAGCTTGACGACGACAGGATGGGGCTGGGGGTGGTGGCCTCCTCCCTGAGCCCTCGAACCACACGCTTCTGAGGCTTTATCTGCCCTCTTCAGCTTTGAGGCGAACATTTCCTGCTGCTGTTTAGCTTTTCCGTGCATCTAGCAGGTTCTCTGACTGAGATCTCTGAGCTCCGACAGGGATGGAACAGAGCCGACGGCTGTTTCCTCCATTAATTTAGAACATGAACAATGTTAAGGTGTTGGAATACGTTTATCAACTGAGGAGAAGGATACAAGGTTGAAGGCGGGTACCCAGTCCTTCCCTCCCAGCAGCTCCATCTGTTTGATGGTTATTGTTTGCTCATGTCTGTCTCCCCACCCCACTGTCATCTCCGTGAGGGCAGAGACCATTGCTGCTTTTCACTGTTTTTCCCCAGCACTCTGCACAGTGTCTGGCGCACAGTAGGTGCTTCACGGATATTCCTTGAATGAATGGATGGGATCGGGGCCCTTGTGGCCTGTGTCCACCTGCATGAATCATCCGGGGAATCTTGTTAAACATGCAGATTCCCAGGCCCTGCCCTCAGAGACTCATTCAACCACCAGGAGGGGCCCTGGGAACCTGCATGTTTGACGAGCTTTCAAGAGATAGTGACGCTTGCCCAGGGTGGGATCGGCTGCGCCCACAGGGCCTGGCGCCACCCCTGGCACATGGTAACTGCTCAGTAAATATTTCATCATTCAATTCATCCAACAAAGACCTTTTGGATGCCCATGTCGCAGGTGCTGAGGGACTGCAGGGCACGGAACAGAGTTCTCATGGAGCTGACGCCTCAGTGACAGTGATAAGCAGTTACATGCCGATGCTGCCGGTGGTGATGCTCTGAAGAAAGATGGAGCCGAACCAGGAGCAAGGCCCTGCGGGGAGGTGCTTTGGTGTCTGTGTGGGTGGAGGTTAGGTAATGAGCCTCTGATAAGGGGGCATTTGAGCAGACACTGGGAGGAGGCGGAGGGTCACGGGAAGACTGTTCCAGAAAGACAGGAGAGACTTGCAGAGGGCGTGAACTTGGTGTGTGCTTGCCATGTTTCTCGAATGGATGGGCGAATTCCCAGGAGTTTTGGGTATGGTTTTGTGGTCTGCCGTTGAGAAAGTTCCTCTTTTAATTTTCGGTCTAGCGTCCATCATTTTAATAGAGGCCCAGACTGAGAATGAATCGGAATGGCTGAACTGCTTTCCCCGGGGCTGCTGGGTTGCAGGGACCTTGAGAATAGAGATGGCTCCTTGAGGCAGGGCTGTGTTAGTGTCTTGGGGCTGCCATAACACAGCACTGCAGACTGGGGACTTCAACAACAGGCATTTATTGTCTCGCGGTTCTGGAGGCAGGAAGTTGCAGATCAAGGTGTCAGCAGGGTTGGTTCCTCGTGAGGGCTGGGAGGGAGAGTCTGCTCTCGCCTGTCTCCTAGCGGCTGGCTGTTTGCTGGCCATCCTTGACCTTCCTTGGCTTGTAGGATTCTCTGCCTTCATCTTCACATGGCATTCTCCCTGTGTGCACGTCTGTGTCCTGTGTGGATGTCTACGTCCAAATTTCCCCTTTTATAAGGACATCAGTGATACTGAATTAGGACCCACCCCAATGACCTTATTTTAGCTTGATAAAGATCCTGTTATCAGATCAGCTCACGTTCTGAGATACTGGGGGTTAGGACTTCAACACATGAACTTGGGGGGGGGCACCATTCAACCCATAACAGGCACCAACGTCCCTTCAGGTAGGGTGAGGAACATGTGAAGGGAACGGATGTTATTTATTCCTCTGGATGTACATGCTCAAGGCTGCTGCCCTGGTGTTCAGTATAGATGTTCTGTTTATCTGGCACCTGATATCACAGAGGTCCAGGCTTTGGGGCCACCGCAGTTCCCAAGCTAGCATCAGTGTCCCCTAGGGGCTTGGCAAACAGGCATGTTCCCAGGCCCCCTCCTGGAGGCTGAATGAGTCTCTGGAGGCAGGCCAGGGAGTCTGCGTGGTTAACAGGATTCCCCTGGTGATTCTGACGCAGGCGGCTGCAGGCCACACAGTGAGAAACTCTTCCAGGGGGGGAGTGAGCAGCAATGGGTGGACTGACCATGGTGGGGATACAGGAAACGAGGCCCTGCTCCCGCCTCCGCATCATATTAAATGCTCACAGGGTTCATCTTCAGTGAGGAGAAGCTGAGGGCTGAGGTGGGGACAGCGGTGAAAAGATCATCGCTGGAGTTTTTACCTCTTTTCAGTGCCCTGTGGTGAACGAAATCCAAAGAAGCGATGACTCAGGCGGGTTTGTCTTGCAAGTTTTTCTTCCCATGTCCCATTTTGCCTTACGATCTTTTCTTTCTTCTTCTTCTTTTTTTTTTTTTTTTTGAGGAAGATTAGCCCTGAGCTAACATCTGCTGCCAATCCTCCTCTTTTTGCTGAGGAAGACTGGCCCTGAGCTAACATCGGTGCCCATCTTCCTCTACTTTATATGTGGGATGCCTACCACAGCATGGTGTGCCAAGAGGTGCCATGTCCACACCCGGGATCCAAACCAGTGAAACCCGGGCCGCTGATGTGGAACATGTGAACTTAACTGCTGCACCACCTGGCTGGCCCCCAGTTAGGATCTTTTCTTGAAAGTGACTTGTAAGCTCAGGTTTCTCCTGGAGTCATTGCTCCCCTAGTTTAGTAACTTGAGCCTTCTAAAGATGAATCAGTGTCAGACTCCAGTGGCTAATCCATCTCAAATTCAGGCGGGATGGGGTGGGGCATAATTCCCCCCTAATCCGGGTGTGTGTTTCCTGTGGACTTCTCCCAAGGTTTCGTGCCTGTCTTGGTAAACGTTTGTATGTGAGGCAATGTGGGAGAAATCCTTGAAGCATACGGAGTGCCAAGTGGGTATTAAATTCTGGCTCCTGGTTCCCTGAGAAAACCACAACCTCAAAAGCAAGTCACACTCATCAACAACATCCAGGAACATTCCTGTGGGCCTGACAACTTAAGAGCGCTTGTGGGAAAGCATCCAGCAGCAGCAGCAAGGAGGATTAGACAGAGGAGAGTAACTCCCACAGGAAAGATTCAGAAGAACCACTCCCTCCGCCGGATTACTCAGCTGGGCACAGAGGGAACAAAGGGGATTTTAATTCAGATTCTCAGTATGATTAAATTGTCACATAAGGATGATCAGCAGCTATTTTCCACTTTGAGGCAAAGCAAGATGATGGACTTGAAGAGTCTTCCAACTCAAGAACTGGGTGTTTAGCTGGTTTTTCTATCCTGGATCTAATTCTGACACCTGTCTGCACGTTGGCTGAAATCAGCACCACAGACAGCACCTGAGCCCATAATAAGGCTCCAGAAGGTCTTTTCTCAAACACTAGTGTCAGAGCCCCAGCTGACACCGTTTAGATACACTCACAATGAGGCAGAGCAGGGGGAAGAACCACAAGCTGGGAAAGAGAAACGTTGACGAATCAGCTGCTCCTTCCTGCTGCTTCTTCAGGACACGCCCCCACGGACGGTGACAGCATCCCCATTGTGGTAGCAGGTAATGCTTACCTGGCACTTACTATGTTACAGGTACTGGTCTCAGTACTCCACAAACATAATTCTCACAGTGGTGGAGGTAATACTGAGGTAGGAGCTATAATCGTCCCAATCGTACTGATGAGGAAACTGAGCCACAGAGATGCTAAATGGCTTTGCCCAAGGACACCGAGCTCATTCGTGGGACAGCTGGGATTTGAACTCAGGCAGCCAGGGCACAGAACAACACCATACCCATTAGGCTGCACTACCTGTTGTAAAATGGCATGACTGCGACATGAGGCGACACAATGAGACTGTGGAGTTCTCTGCACACACTATGAAGATCTTATGTGCTGCCTTTTGTGGTCATATTTCTCGAGTTCTAGGTCATGACTTGAACTGCTATTTTCAGAGACCCTTGTTTCTCCCACTGGGAATGATGCAATGGTTGATGTCTGGACAAATTGCCTTTAAGAGGGGCCAGCCTGGTGGCACAGCAGTTAAGTGTGCACGTTCCGCTTCGGCGGCCCGGGGTTCGCCGGTTCAGATCCCAGGTGTGGACATGGCACCGCTTGGCAAAGCCATGCTGTGGTAGGTGTCCCACATATAAAGTAGAGGAAGATGGGCACGGATGTTAGCTCAGGGCCAGTCTTCCTCAGCAAAAAGAGGAGGATTGGCAGCAGATGTTAGCTCAGGGCTAATCTTCCTAAAAAAAAATTAATTGCCTTTAAGATTCAAGTTGATGGGTCTCTTTAGAATTTGTGTGGAGCGGGGTTGAGGACTCAGAAGAGAGCCCCAGAAGTTGTGCAAAAGGCGGAGAAACCAGACTCGACTCCCTGCTCAGCTTCACTCTAGATTTATTCACCTGCTCCCACGCTGGCTGCATCCCAGCCCCGCTCCCCAGGGGAGGAAGCTGGTTGCTCTACTCGTCTGTTTCTTCAGCGGCCTCCTTCTCAGGATGTGGCCCAGGACTTAAGGAAGGAGGGACTGAAGGCACATGTTTCGTCTTCCTGGCGGGTGGCAGGCGTGGAACCATGCGTGTCAGTGGCCGTTGGGTGGTGCCAGCATGGACTGCCCCAACTGCCCGTTTCCCGGGGGGTATTCTGCCAGGGCATAGAGGAAGCCGCCCAGGGCCGCCACGGCCATGGCTGTGTTGTGGGAGGAGCAGCCATCTGGGGAGAGAGTCCCTCTGTGAGGGCTGGGTGGCAGCCGCAGTTCCATCGTGTGAGTTTTTCAGATAGTCCCCCAGCCAGCCAGGTGCCGGCTGATCCCCTTTGCTGGACCGGGCACCCATCTGCCACCCCCGTGAGTGTCGGCTGCTAATGTCTCCCTTCTCCAGAGAGATGTCTTGCACCCATTGGAGCCTCGTCCCGATGACTTACTAATACAGGGACACAAAAGCTGGCCCCCAGCTTGGGGGTGCCTCCGTGGGACGATTCCCGCTCCAGAGCCCCTCTCCTGCAGGATCGGACCTGACCCACCCCCTTGTCCAGCGCCCTCCCGCCTTCCCCTGCTCTCAGGCCCTCGTGAGACCTAGGACAGCCTCTCATAGTTCCATACAGATGGGGAAACTGAGGCTGAGGCAGCAGAGCCGAGGTCCTGGTCCTGGTGACTCCACAGCTCATTTCTTCACCCCCACGGCCGCCCTCATTGCTGCCTCAGGCCTGCCGGGTCCCTTGTGACCATGAGCACCTGCCTGTGACAGAAACCCCTTAGATGTCATTCAGTTCTCTGAACTCAAGGTGGGCTGCCCACCTTTGGTCTCTGGGCGGGTGAGGGGAGCCAGGACTTTCCTCTCCCCTCACAGTCTTGGAGAAGGGAAGGACCCCAGGCAGGCCCCTTAGAGGGAGCAGAATGCAGATTTCAAGGAGACTAATCTCTAACCCTGGCCGTCCACGCTTCTCGGTGGCCTACCGAACACCAAATGCTGTGGCAGCTCTTTGCCCAATGACCTGATGTTGACCCCCAACAGCCCTATGAAGGAGGCGCTGTCTGGCCCCATTTTACAGATGAAGAAACTGAGGCTCAGAGTTGAGCGACTCCCACGGTGAGTAAAGGGCAAAAGCAGACTCGAGCCCAGGCAGCCTGACTTCAAATCCTGTGCTCAGAGCTCCACACCGGCTGCCCCTGCTGCATGGGTGTGTGTCATAGTGAAGAGGAGAGCAGGCTGCTCCCTCCCGTGCAGTTTTCTAGGTCATTGGTCAACCTGCAGGGGCCCCAGGAAGGACCTTGGGCTTCGAGATTTCTGCAGCTCTCTCTCGAGCCCTCAGGACAGTTCTAGTGTCCAGCTCTCCAGGGCATGCACAGCAGGCCCCCTACCACCCGGCCGTGGGCAGCTGCAGCCCCCCCGTGTCAGGCAGGCCTAGCCAAGGGCAGGAGGCCTTTAGAAATCTCCGGAGAACTGCTTTGCCTTCTCCTGCCCAACCTTTGGTGGCAGCAACCAAATGGACCCGTCAGATTTGTGCTTCCCCCAACTTGTCTGCCTGCAGGTAGATGACGAGGCCTGCAGGGTTGACGGTTCCCCGAATCATTCACCAGTGGATGCTGGATATCTACTCAGAGCTGGCGATTCCATCTCCCTTCCTGCTTTTGCCTAGAAGTTATTGATTTTTTATCAAGGAAAAGTTGAAATCAGGTCTCCTCTTCCTTCTTTCTCCCTCTGTCCCCAGCTTCTGTATTATATCTGGCCTTTCTTCCTTTGCTAATATAGTTACAGCCTAGCCTCAGTTTCTCTACGTTGGCGGACTGACCACATTATTGATCATCTCAGCCAGGACACTTTCGGGAGGAAAGGCGGGCACTATGCCTAATGGCTCCAGGACAACAGGTGTAAGCTGGGGACACCAGGATGTGTGGCCACTGGGATGTGATGGTCACTTGCCTGCTGGCTCAAAGATTTCCTCCCTGCCCTTCTTTGCTCCAAACCCTGGCGCACTGACCCCTCCAAACTACATTTCCCAGGATGCCTTGCCCACCAGCTTCCAGTTGGGTTTGACTAACAGCAGACACAGGCAGAGGCAGGGGAGAAGCCGAGGTGTTTCTCCCGCTCTCTCTGTCTCCACGTCCAACCCCTGCAGCCTCTGCTGACACCACCTCCTCCCACAGTCCCTCCAGCTCTGCCTCTGGCGGGGGCAGTGGCTTCCCTCAGTGGTTAATCTCTGGCTTTTCTCACTTTTTTTCATTGCCAGCTCTTGTAACACCTCTGAGACCAGTTCCCTATCTTCAATTCCTTCTGCTGAAGTTTTCGATGCAGGTTCTGTTTTCCTGACTTGATCTTGGCAGAGAGGGGTTATCTCTGTGCTTTTCAATAATACACTGAAACTTCTCTTTTATATACCTTTCACTGGAGTCAGTAACTCTGGACCCCCCACTTTCTGAGAGGAGGGCCTCAGAGACCCCTTCCCTTCCCCTAACCTCCCAAACACAAAGGCCCTTCCTTCAGTGATGCTGGGGGCCTGTTTTCCGTGGACGATGACAGCCTTTCCAGGGTGTCTCGGCTTCATGCCAAGAAGGTCCCTTGGGTACTTTCATTACCTGTAAATTGTTTTTCTCGCCTCTTCACTCTTGTCAAAAAATGCTGTTGGTGTTCAACTGCTCTCAATAATTCTTCATCTTCAGCATCTGGGAGAAGACAGAAAGGTGAACTTCTCAGGATGGATTTTAAACATTACTCACGAAACCTCCTCCCCCTCAAGCAACTCAGGTCTTCTCCTGAATCTGGGGGCTCTTCCTCGAGCACCTGTCTGCAGATCCTTCCACGTGGCATAAGTTTGTCGTCTACTGATGTTTCTCAAATTGTGGTCCCCCAACCGCCCAGATCAGAATGACCAGGGGAGCTCATTAAAGATGCAGGTTCCGCAGCCCCACCCTCCACCTGTGGAAGCTATCGGTCTGGGGTCCTGAGAACCTTCATTTTATAAACTCCTCTGTTTTAAAAATAGACTACATGTGCTGCATTATGATGTGTCAGTCAATGATGGAAACGGTGGTCTCAGAGGATGAGTACCATGGAGCCTAGGTGTGTGGTAGGCTGTACCATCTAGGTTTGTGTAAGTACACGCTATCATGTTCGCACAATGATGAAATTGCCCAGTGATGCATTTCTCAAAATGTATCCCCATCGTTAAGTGATGCACGACTGTATCTTATTTCAAAAAATGTTGCCTCTTTGAGCATCCGAAGCTTCTCATTTAGGATGCTGGCATTTATTGGGAGCCTCCTCTGTACCCAGCACCGGCCGGGGGGTTCACGTGCATTATGTGTACTCCTTACAGCTCAGGAAGGTGGATATTGTTATGCTCGGTTAGTTACACACAGGGAAATTGAGGCTCAGAGAGGTGAAGTGACTTACTCCAAGGAGGACCAGCTGTCCAGTGTCTCATGGCTGCCTGCTCTGCCTCCCCCAGACACCCCCCCTGATCGCACCACCTAAAGAGCTCTCCCCGATGCTCTGTTCTTTCTCAGCCTGTCGTCTCCACCACAGCCCTTATCAGAACTCACAATGACTTCACTTATTGGTTTGTGTAGGTGGTCTCTGCCTCTTTCCCTCAGAGCCTCAGTTTCCCCAGAGCCTAGAACAGTGTCCGGCACACAGCAGGTGCTTAGGGAACACTCGATGAAGAAACAGATTTGTTAATGCAGGTGTAGGGGACCAACGTCTTCCGACAAGACTGCCTCCCATCCTGCAAAGTTCGGGCTTTGAGCCCATTTCCGTGTGTGTGTGTGTGTGTGTGTGTGTGTGTGCGTGTGCATGTGCATGCACATGGGTGTTGCAAATCTCTTTCCGCACCACTAACACCACTGCATCCTTTCCCCACCTGGCCAAAAGACCCCAGCCCTCCAACCCCGTCTTGTGCTCAGCCAGGATGGAAGTGCAGCTCACCAGGCGTCCCGAAGCATCCTTCTCGCAGCTTCTGCCAGGCAAGAATGACCTCCAGCCACCGGAGCTTGTAGAAGTCAGAAAAGCCAGCGATTCCACAGAGCATGACTGGAAGCAAAGACAGGGGACCCTCTGCAGGCCTGCCCCCCATGCCCACCTCCTGCCACTCCCCAAGGCCACCTTGGCACCACCTGCCTCCTCCTGCCGGGTGGGGCAGCACTGGGAGGTGGGCCTCAGTGCATGTAGTGTCTGCAAGGAAGCGGCGGGGGCTCTGCCTTGGCGAGCAGGGGCACCCAGGCCCGGATCCTGCCTCCCACCTGGGGCCTTGGTCGGGGCCACTCAAGAGTCAGGCTCAGCAGAGGGATCTGGACACCCAAGCCAAGGAGCGGCCTGCCAGGGACCCCCTTTCTGCCTCATCTCTAAGGCTTTGAGGGTTTGCCATCAGCTGGGCAGTCAGTCTGTCCAGAGCTCCATCACTGGGTCAGCCTTTGGGGGCAGGAAGCACACAGTGGCAGAGAGAACAGAGGATGCCCAGTTAAATTTGAGATTCTGATAAACATGAATAAGCATTTAAAGTATAAGTATATCCCATGTAACGTCTGAGATATACTAAAAATGTATTCATTGCTTATCTGAAGTTCAGACGTACCTGGGCACCCTGTGTTTTTATTTGCTAAACCTGGCAGCCCTGCTCTGTGTCTGTGTGTGTGCACGCATGCACATGTGCGTGTGCCCGGAATTGGGGACACCCTGCTGCTCTGTCCCCAGGGCAACACGCCGGGGCCCACTGTTTTCCATGAAGATGTCCCGGGTTGAGTAGGCATATCCGATGGCCTCAGCTCTCTGGTTCAGGTCCATCATGTTGGCACAGAAGAGGTTCATGTAGAGCTGGGTCTGGTGGAACAGCCCCTCCATGCATCCCTTCTGGGGGAACAGACACCGGGAGACAAGGAGGTTGGCGGTCTGGATGAGACAGACTCTGTCACGGGAAAACACTTGCAGTTCTGAGCCAGTCTTGCAAGTGGCTGCATTCAGGGCTGATCGTTTCCCTTTTCCCAGAATTTCTTCCTCACCCACACTCCCTGCTGGGGGCTCAGGCACTAGGGGTCAGAGAGAGCTGGCTTCCAGTCCTGGCTGTGCTACTCAGGAGCTGTGTGACCTTGGCCGGCTATATTAACCTCTCTGAGCCTCAAGGGTCTTCTCATGGAAAGGGCAGTGCCTCGAGGGGAGAGCTACACCAGAGGGGTGCTCCTGTGGGTGGGCGAGACCATAACTGGGAAGTGCCCGAGGCGACCCCCGACACTAGGGGGCCCTAAAGCTGCTAGCTGTCATCATTCATTCTGGTTCCACACTAACAGTGCTACTCAAAGTGTGGGCTGTGGACCGGTGGCTGGGAGAGGAGGACAGGAGATGAGAACAGGCTTGAGAAACTTCTGTGGCAATGGATCACTTTCTACCTGCCGAATCTAATCAAAATACCTTTCCTCATTATTTGGTTTTTATTGGATTTACAAAAATACTAGTCTATGATGGTTTGCAAATAAATAATAATAAAAAAGCCTGTCAAACAAAAACAGCGAGTTCCTTCTCGGCTAAGAATTTCTGGACTTCGAACAACATTTTTGGATAGAGGTAATGAGCCCTACCTTTCTCTATAAATAAATATATGTTTAAAAATGATGATTATTCAGCAAAATTTGAGCTCTTGGGCGGGCGCTAAAGAGGTGGGGGCGGGGCTGGTTTGGTTTTCTGGGAGCGCCTATTGACGACTGACTACACATTCTAAGTCCTTTTCCACTGGTTGTTGTCGGCTGCGTTCTTTCTGCTGCTTCTCTGACTCCCTCTCTCTGTTTTTGTTTTTCTGATGGCCTGTGGTCCAGTCCAGCATGCAAACCTCTGTGTCCAATAGAATCCCAAGCCACTCCTCCCCTCCCATAGTTTGGTTCAATTTTATAGCCAATGGATGGCTGGCTACCTTCCTCCTGATGCCCGAAGCACAAGTCCAAAAACCCGCTTATTTTCCTGGTGTGTAACGTACAAAACCACACGGCCACCAGCCCCCCCCTTTTTTTTCTTTTTTTGAGGAAGATTAGCCCTGAGCTAACATCTGCCGCCAATCCTCCACTTTTTGCTGAGGAAGACTGGCCCTCAGCTAACATCCATGCCCATCTTCCTCTACTGTACCCATGGGATGCCGACCACAGCATGGCTTTTTGCCAAGCGGTGCCATGTCTGCACCTGGGATTCGAACCAGTGAACCCCGGGCTGCCGAAGCAGAACACGCGTGCGCAATTAGCTGCTCCTGCACCACTGGGCCGGCCCCCCACCAGCCCCTTTTTATGGTTCCTTCTCTCCCGGGGGCATCGCCTGGCACTCACCATTCTGGCCAAGAGGAAGAAGAGCAGCTGGTGCGACAGGCAGTAGCCTGAGCAGCCGGGTCTGGTCATGAGGGTCCTGCAGAAGTCTGAGAGTCTGCAGGGCTGCCTGTCGTCCGCCCTGGGGGAGATGGTTCCAGGCTGTTAGGAGTGTCCTAAAGGGAGCCGAGCGCCTGGAGCCTTCCCTGGGCCCATTCCTCCACTAGTTATCAGGACCCCCTGTAGGTTCCAGGCACCCAGCTGGGCTCAGGGGGCTGCCAGATAAAACACAGGTATTCTGTGTCTTGATCGGCTAAATCTGGGACCCTTGGCATGGGGGAGGTGATGCTGGTGCTATCCTGGGTTGGGGGAGCCCCAGAGGGCTGCAACTTCCCCAAGCACTGCCCTAAACAGCACATCCCTGAACCCAGACAGCTTGGGGTCTGGACCCTGCATGCCCATTCCCTCTGTGCCAGGCCTGCCCCCTAACAGGGACAGAGCACCACGGGGCAACTGGAGCTCAGCCCCTCTGCGAGCCCAGCTGTGTCCTGGCCCCAACGCCTCTCTGAAGGATGCTGAGAGGATGGGGGCCCCGGCACCTGCTGCCCCTCCTGTCCCAGGATGGGTCCCTGCACCCACGGCTGCCCTGGGGGGGTCTGCGCAAGGCCCACTGCACAGAGGGATAAAATAGCGAGTGAGTCTGAGATCTACAGCCCCTTGGGGTGGCAGAACCCTAAAACAAATGTACGCTGCCTCTGTGGCTGCAAATGGTGCCAGGAGAGCCAGCCCAGCATGGGAGGTCAGCCTCCGCAGTGGGGTCAGCGAAGGTTCTGGAGGAAAGAGGCTGGAGCTGGCCCCGAAGTGGGAGCAGACTTACTTAGGCACAGCAGATGGGGTGGGGCAGGGTGGGAAGAGGCCCCCCCGGTAGCGACTGTGGCAAAGGGAGAGGCTTAGAAGAGGGAAGGAGCCGGTGCCTTTGAGGGTCTGAAAAGAGGCCCCAGGGGCTGGACGGAGGGGCCTGCGGACATGGAAGGGCAGCGGGAATTGAGGCTTCCTCCTGAGAACAACAGGAGGTTCACGCTGGCGGTGGGGTGTTCAGCTGCGGTTTAGAAATGATCCCTCCGGTGTGGCGGCCTGCCAGGAGGTGGGGGTGGGGGCGCAAGGGGGGTGGGGGTTGCACCGGGCTGGAAGCCACTCGTGGTGGGGTGGGAGAGGGCGGGGTCAGGGCGGCTCTGCGGGGAGGGGGCTGAGCCTGGTTTTGCACAAACCCGTGGGGAGCTGCAGAGTGAGTGGGACAGGAGGACAGGCTGAGAGCAAGCTCTTTTGGGTTTTTGGAAATCGGGGCAAGTCCAGGGGACCCACCCGGTTCCCAGCAGCTGCACCAGGCACAAGTCACTGTATTCCTCTGAGAAGGAGTCCTCGGGCTGGAAGGTGGGGTAGACCATGGAGGCGTTGGTGTGGGTCCAGGCCTGTGGGAGCTTCCAAAACCCGGGCTGGATGGTTGGCTGGAACTCTGGCAGAGAGGAGGGGGCGGGGGCAGACCACGCTCTGCTTCACGGCCCCCAAGCTCCTGTGGCTCGGAGCCAAGGAACTGGATGTCCCTCCCGGGGCAGCCCTGACCACACCCGGGTGCCTGCTCGGAGCTGTAAGGCCCACCTGCTGGATGGGCGTTGCCTTTGAAACACTCAGGAAGCTTCTGCTAAAAGAACATTAAGAAAAAATCAATAGGAACAGGGTTGGGGCAGGCTGGGAGGAATCCACTGTATTCCATGGAAGCTTGAGACGTGTAAAAAGGGCTAGTCGCCTCCTCTGGTTGGGTTGGAAAGTGGAGCTCTTATAAAACAGATGCCCAGCAAAGGGGCTTCTTTAGGTTGCCACAGGCACGGATGGTCTTAGGGACCAGGCCTGGGAGAGGGTGGGGGACCTGACTGCAGAGAGGCAGGCCAGACCTACAGACGGCTGGGGTGTGGTCATGCAGTGGGGCTGTGGTCTGGCCAATGATCCCCCCACCACCCCCAACCCAGGAACCACTCAGGCCAGGCTTACAGGGGGGCCCTTAGTAGAGTAACTGAAGGCCGACAACAAGACAAAGACTTAGCATTACAAGCCACAAAAGAGATACTGGCAAGATGCTAACATTTGCCGTGCAAAGGGTCAAATTACCTTTTAGATGTCGCACCCTCTGCGACAGACCCTCCCCTCCCCTCTGGTCCAGGGTGAAGGCCCCCAGGCCTGGGCATGAGCTGGACAAATTCGAGGAGACATAGTCCCTCCTTCCCGCCCCCTCTGTGTGGGTGGGAGAGGTCATCTCACCCTGAAGTCAAGGATGACCGAACAGCCCCCAGGGTCAGCCTGCGGTGTGCTTGGCTGACAGGACGCAGCTGGCTACCGATGGTCCCCAACCCTCCCTGGCACCCTAGGGCACCTGCCCCAGGTCATTTCAGGAACATCCCCAGCTGCCCTGTTCCCGAAGAAATGACATCCACCCCACGCTCTTACCTCGCAGGTACTCGGGGTCACTCAGCCTGAGGTAGAAAATGGATCTGTGGAGGAGAGGCGCCAGCCTGGCTGCCAGCTTCCTCACACGCAGGTTCAGTGGCTGCAGGAGGGGGTCCCGGGCCCACTTCTCTTGGACGCCTTGTAGCTGCCCTGGGAGGGAGCAGAGTTCATTCGTTCCACCATGTGACGAACCACGTGGACGGGAAAACATATCTTAAGTTGTGACACTGCGGGAGGACCTCTGCCTCCTCCAGCTCCCGAGGGGAAAGAGCGTGCTGAGCTTACTGGAAATCAGGCCTCTGTGGGGCTCAGCTGGGTTGGGGGTCGGGGTGGAGCCACGATGACAGAAGGTATTGGCTAAGAGCTTGATTTCTGGAAGTGGGCCTGGGTTCAAATCCTGACTCTCATACTTTTTTTTTTTTTTGAGGAAGATCAGCCCTGAGCTAACATCTGCCAATCCTCCTCTTTTTGCTGAGGAAGACTGGCCCTGAGCTAACATCCATGCCCATCTTCCTCTACTTTATATATGGGACGCCTACCATGGCATGGCTTGCCAAGCAGTGCCATGTCTGCACCTGGGATCCGAACTGGTGAACCCGGGGCCACTGAAGTGGAATGTGATCACTTAACCGCTGTGCCAACGGGCCAGCCCCCCTCATACTTTCTTGTTGGGTGACCAGAGAAAGTCATTTATTTTCTCTCCATTTCACTTTCTTCATCTATAAAATGGGGCTAATGATAGTCCTTGCTTCTTGGGGGGTTTGCAAGGATTAAATGAACTAGTGCATAGAGAGGACTTATCATTGTCCATGGCACCAAAGAGGCACTTAATAAAGTTTAGCTATTAGTATTATGAGGGAGACTTAACTTCTGCTGTACAGGAGAAAAAAAATGAGAGAGGGATTCAGATGGCAGGGTGGAGAGCCACTGTGTACAGTTGAGCAGGTCGCACACTGCACAAGGGCAACGTCCATTCCTATCATGTGTTTGTATATATATTAAGACAATTTTCCAGCAGACAGCAGTCAAGTGACTCAAGGAAGGGGGTGCCTTTTTCTAATCCTCACAAAGGTGCCCTGTGGACTGGACTAGCAGTGGCCCTGCAGGGGTGGGAGAGAATGGTGGTCAGAGACGGGAGAAGAGGTGGCCAGAGAGGAGATGGAGGGAGAGCAACAGCACAGGGCTGGGAGGGCGAGAGGTGAGGAGGGCAGCTGCCTTCAGGTGGAGAACTGTGTGGGGGAGGGTGGGAGAGGCTTAAGGAGGGTGTGAGCAGGGCTGTGGGGTGAGGGGCTCTGTGACGCCCCTCCCCTGCCCTGGCCCCTCCCTGAGCACTTGGCTGTAGCAGCAGATGGAGGCGCTATAGTGTCACCCACATGGGCTGCCCCGGTCATCAGTGAGACCAGGAGAACCCGACCCGACCTCATGGCGACCTGGGTCCTGAGCCTTGTTCCTATGTCCCCCTGCGTGTGTGGCAGCTGCTGCCACATCCTGGAACCCCATCACGGCTGCTGGAGCCAGCTGGAGGGTCCCTTTGCTCTCTTAGGGCCATGGCCCCAAGCAGAGACCACCCAGCAGATCAACGGATATTCTGTTGCTGCTTTAGTCCCCCTGCAAAAAAAAAAAGGTGACCTCATTTCTCTCCCTCCCAAGGGGGCCCAGGAATGAAGGTCGGACCCTCATGAAGAGTGCTGTGGCGGTCAGCTGGTGTTCACGCCCTTTCAGCCCCCTCCCACATTGAACGGGGCTGACCAGTGAAACCAGTAAGATATTGGGGAAATGAAGGCTCAGTCATAAAAGACCTTGAGGCTTCCGCCTTGCTCTCTCCTGGGCCACTGGCTCCGGGGGAAGAGGCTGCCACATTGTGAGGGCACTCAGGTGGCCCCGTGGAGACGTCCATGTGCTGAGGAGCCGAGGGCTCCTGCCAACAGCCGGCACCAACTTGCCAGGCCTCTGAGGGAGCGAGACAGCTCCTCCTGCCCCGGTCCAGCCTTCAGATGACCACAGCCCTGGCTGACATCTCGACTCAACCCCATGGGAGACCCTGAGCCAGAACCGCCCAGCTACGCCGCTCCTGGATTCTGGATGCACGGAAATGGCGTTATTGTTTGAAGCAGCGAAGTTCCGGGGTAATTTGCTCTTCAGCGATAGATTACTGCAAGGCGAGGGGGCCCAGCTCTGGAGAGGGGAGCAGGCAGATGGCAGGAGAGGCCTCCCCAGGAGGGGGCGGCCCCGGTCTGAGGCTGGTATGTGCTGGCGTGGACCCCCACTTCCCTCCTTCCCAGGCAGCCCCACCCTGTAAGGAGAGTCAGACAGAGGAGGGTTCGAGCCCACCTCCCTCACTTACCCGCTGTGTGACCTTGGACGTTCTCTGCAGCCCATCCCCTCCCTGGTTCCACGGGATGATAATGATGGACTGACTGAGAGGGTTGTGGGAAGAATCCCGTGAGACCCCTGACGCGTGCACCCGGGAGGCCAGCACCTAGGGGGTTCTTACGCACTTTGGCTTTTACTATGGCGTGCGCCCCAGAAAGCATGCAGCCCAGGGAGCCACCTGCCCCCCCTTCTTTGTCCATGAGGAACCGACAGACCTGTGGGGCTGCAGCTGAGACGTCTGTTGCCTCATCCTAGGAAGGTTTACCAACCACTGCTCCTCGCCCAGCGCTGAGCTGGCGCCAAGGGCTGACCAGGAGTGAATACGACGCACCTGCCCTCACGGGCTGTCACAGCAGGCGAGGTGGGATCCTGGACCCACCATCTGTCTGGCTGTGAGGCATCAGGAGGCTACTGAGCCTCTCTGTGCCTCAGTTTCCCCACCTGCAGGAGGAGCAAAACAGGGCACCTCCCTCTCTGGGCTGTTTGGTGAGGACACATGGCAGGTGGCCAGGAAGCGCCCAGCTCTCCTTTGAGGGGCCACATCATGGGATGTGGCCCAGAGACTTTTGTCTCTGTGGGTCCTTTTCTCCATTGAAACAAAATACATTAAAGATTGCGTCTTGTGACTGTGTTGGTACGAAGATGGATATGTTTATACTATCTATTAGAGCATTTTTGTTGACTTAGTTAATTTCTTTTTCTGGTTTTAAGAGAAACTAAAACGTTTTCATGGGCCCCTAAAGGTATTGTGTGCCTGATGGGCAAGCCGGCCGTGCTTTGTTACCAGCTCCTAGAGGAGTTGTGAGCCACGGCTGGAATTAATGAAGGAGCCGGTGCCGTCTGCATTGCCACACCCTGGTCCTGGCCTGCAGGGGAGGGGCTAGGATCTTGGGGGCCTCCAGGATGGGGCCTGGGAGCTCAGGGTGTGGACACAGGCCGGGACAGATGCAGCCCCGTCCCAGAGCCCCCCCTTGCGCTGGGATCTGGCGTCCTGGGGGCGGGAAGCTGCACGGTTGATGCAGAGTGAGAGCGGGCCGGCCAGACCCCAGGCTGACCGAAAGCTGGCTCTTGGCTCTTTGTCACGTAGGCAGGTAGTAGGTTGGGGTGGCCTGGGGGAGGGGCTCACACAACTCCAACTCCTTGGTTTGTGTGGGGGCGGCTCCTGTTTGCCTTGGCCCATCTCCAGCCCCCCTCAGGGGATCTTATATCCCTCAGAGCAGAACAAACACTTGGCTCTTTTCTCCGAGCCTCCAGGCAGCTTTGGCTGGAAGTGGGGGCAGCCAGGACTGGAACCCCATGTTGAGGGTCCCCCTTCTGTCAGTAGCCACCCTCCCGGCAACACCCCTTCAAAGGGCACACTCCCTCTGCCCGCCTCGTTCGTGGCATATCAGGAGGGAGGGATTGTCAAATGGGTCCTTTCTTCCCGGGAAAATAATAATTTCCAGATCTTTCCTTGTGTGGCCTTTGAATCCTTCCTGCTTCCCAAAAAACTTGGGAACAGTGGCGCCCAGATGCCCCAAAGGAGCAAGCCGCCCCCAACCCCTCTTTCCTTATCGTCAAAGCAGACAATTCAGGAGTCAGGAGGTGGCCAGTTCCCAGGGGTGCAGAGCAGGCAGGTGGCAGGCTGAGAACTGGTTTTCTGGGCGGCCGGGCCAGGGGAACGAGCGCACCCACCTTCCAGCACCCGGAACCCCACCACGCCGTCCAGGTTGACTTCAGGCAGCCTCTCCTGCAGGAAAGAGGTGGCTCTCTCCAGCGCAGAGAGGATGAAGCCCGCGATGGTGGCCTTGCCCTCTGGGGTGTCCGGCGGGGGCAGCGAGGAGGGCCACAGGGGCCGTGGTGCCAGCAGCAAGAGCAGGAGCAGGAGCCCCAGGCTGGCCATGGCTGGCGTCTGCTCGCTGGGAGAGCACACACGCCCTCTGCTGCCTCCTCCTCCCACCTCCTCCTCCTCCCCTTCCCCCGCGGGGGCAGGGCTGACCCAGCAGCCCGGGCGCCCGGTGGTCTGGCCAGCACCGGACATGGAGCCAGCTGGTGTAGGGCCAGGGAGAGGAGCCCCCACCCTTCCTTCTCACCCCAGATTCTCCAGGCCCACGGACAACATCTTTGATCTAGCAATTGTAGTTAGAAACCTAGATATTCAAGAGCACTGAAATGCAAAGGTTTTTTTTTTTTTTTTTTGGTGAGGAAGATTGGCTCTGAGCTAACATCTGTGCCAATCCTCCTCCACTTTGTATGTGGGATGCTGCCACAGCATGGCTTGATGACTGGTGTGTGGGTCTGCGCTTGGGATCTGCACCCAACCCAACCAGGCTGTGGAAGCGGAGCATGCAAACCCAACCACTCGGCTGGCCCCACAAAGTTCTTTTTTAAATAAGTTTGGAATAAGCTCATTTGAGGGCACACCTGCGAACTGTTGGAAGATTCCTTCCAGCAGTGCCCGCTCAGCAGAAACAGAATGCAAGCCACAAAGGAGAGCTGCATGGGCACCTCACAATGTTCTAGCAGGCACATTAAAAAAAGCAAAAAGAAGCAGGTGAAATGAATTTTAACAGTCTATTTTATTTGAACCGATACATCCAAAATATTACCATTTCAACTTGTAATCAATATGAAAATGACTAAATTTTTTACATTTTTTTCTTTTTCTTTTTTGAGGAAGATTAGCCCTGAGCTAACATCTGCTGCCAATCCTCCTCTTTTTGCTGAGGAAGACTGGCCCTGAGCTAACATCCGTGCCCATCTCCCTCTACTTTATATGTGGGACGCCTGCCACAGCATGGCTTGCCAAGCAGTGCCATGTCTGCATCCGAACCTGCGAACCCCTGGGCCGCCGAAGTGGAACGTGCGCACTTAACTGCTGCGCCACTGGGCCGGCTCCTACATTTTTTTCTTTAATGTCAGCTTTCTCATACGAAGTCTTCGAAACCCAGGCAGTGTTTCACACTCGTGGCACATTTCGGCTCGGGCGAGCCACCCTTCACAAGCCCCGCAGCCACATGCACTCCTGTACCGGACAGTGAGGACCCAGAGCGCTGGCGTGGCTCCCCTGGTGTGAAATTCTGCTCACTCTGTGGAAATTTTCATGTTGGCTTCCTGGGTGTGTTCCAAAACATGCTGGGACTGTTCCGTGTACGTGTGCCATATGACCTCTCCAAAATCCAGAACATTCTGAATTCAGAAACACACCTGCCCCCAAGGGTTCAGTTAACATATCACAGATCTGTAAGAATAATAAAAACACCGCCACCAAAATGTGCATCTGATGCTCTTTGTGGGCAGCCGCTAGGTCAGGTTTTGTAGCCTTTTTATTTCTTTCTTTATCATTCGTTCATTCATTATTTATTTATTTCATTCATTCATTTCCATCACTCCAAAAAGAAACCTCATATCCATCAGCAGTCACCCCCTTCCCCCACCCAAGCCCCTGGCCTCCTCTAGCCTACTTTCTGTTTCTGTGGATTTACCCATTCTGGACATTTCATATAAAGGGAATCCTACAATCTGTCGCCTTTTGTCTCTGACTTCTGTCACCAAGCATAAGGTCTTCCAGGTTCATCCAAGTTGTAGCAAGTGTCGGAACTCCATTCTTTTTCATGGATGAATAGTATTCCACTGTACGGATGGATCTCATGCCATCCATTCATCAGTTGATGGACATCTGAGTTGTTTTCACCCTTCGGTTATTGGGAACAATGCTGATAGAAACATTCATTTACAAGTTTCTATTTGAAAACCTGCCTTTGGTTCTCTTGGGTTGATACCTAGGACTGCAACTGCTGGATCACAAGGGAATTCCATGTTTAACCTGTCAAGGAACCGCCAAACAATCTCCTGCTGTGGCTGCACCATTTTACATTCCGACCAGTGATGTACGAGGGCTCCTCATGCACAAGGTTTTGTGCAGAATGCCCATGAAATTTTAATACTGTAGATATGCTGTATATTTGTTTGTGTGCTATGTCTAGATCTGTGCTTTATACATAAAAACAGTAAGTACTTTTTCCTCCCCACCAACCACTTTTTGCCCCCTTGGGTGTGCCATTGAGAACGAATGTTCCAGGTGAAGCTTGTCACTATCATCACTCTGTTAATCCTGTGTCAGCCCCGGAAAAGGGTACTATTTCTTATGCCCTTTTATACCCTAAACAAAATCGTTGGCTCTGAGGAAGTAAGTGACTTACTGTGACCCGCTGTCCCACAGCTAGTAGGAGGTGACACAGGGATTCCAGCGCCCGAGTCCAATCTTAACCATCGAGGAAGCCTGCCAGGGTTCAGTCTCCCGTCTCTGGGAGGGAAAACAATGCCCTCTTGCCCTCTGGAAGGACTGAATTTCATGTGATGAAGGCCAACGGGGCAACCAGGACAAGCAGGGCTGGCCCAGCTCTGAAGCATCCCCGGCTGGTGATGCATCTTGCTCCTGTCTCCACAGGAAAATGATCCCATTCCTTTTCCAATCAGGGTTTCATCTTCCCAAGCCAGGCATTTACTCTTGGCTTGTCTTGACTACGGTGCCTAGTCCTTATCTGCTCAGATCGTCAGAGCAAGAGGGGCTCTCTGAGAGGTGAAGTCCCCTCCCTTAACTTACAGGTCAGGAAAGCCACTTGATCGACAGTTCCTTGATCAAGATCAGGGAACCCATGAGGCTGAGGTCTCCAGACCCCAGCCTGTCCCACCACAGAGGGTGGACCGAGTGGGCAGAGCATGTGTTCCAGCCTCCCACCCCCAGCACATGCAGTGAAGGCAGGGGTCTCCCTGGGAGCTGGGGCATTAACGAGGCTGCCCACCGTGTGCGTCTGCCCATCCCTTCCATCTCTACATATTTACCCGTCCTTCCTTCCCATCTTCAGCTCAGGTTCAAAGCTCTTCCTCTGCCACATACTCACTAATGGTGTGACCTTCAATGTCCTTATCTGTAAAAAGGGGAGTCAGAGGGCTATTGTGAGATGCCAATGAGAAATGTGCCAAGACCTGAGCTGGGCTGTAGGGTGGCTGGGGAACCACATCAACACAGGGCTGCCCTGCCCAGCGGGTGCTGCCCTGTCCAAGCTCTTAGCAAGGCAGGAAGTGCTGCTTTCTCTTTTCCGTCAAATGCGTGAGCGGGTGAGGCAGGCCCCAGGCAGATTCCGGGCCAGCTCTCAAGGTGGGGCAGTAGGAGTGGCTTTACCAACACGCCCTCAATGTTTCTCAGCAGGGTGACCCCTTTCAAAGTCAATGGCTGTGACAGGGACACACACTAAACTCCGAGGTGCCTACTTTGGAGGTGAAATGGGCGGGTCAGTGGAGAAACCATCCCTTCCTACTATGGGCACTTAGAATCATTATGGTTTTTACTTCCTTCTTTGTCCTTTTCCCTTCTCTCTCTCTCTCTTTTAAATGTTTTATTCAAATACAACATACATCCCGAAAAATGAATACGTTTGCTGCTTGACGGGTTTTCCCAAATGGAACACACCCCGGTTACCAGCACACGGATCAAGAAACAGAACATGATGCACGACCCCCTCCAGCTCCCCGCTGGCCCCCTCCCACTCACCCCGGACCCTCCAAGGCAGGTCCCTCTCCTGACTTAACAGCAAAGAGTAGTTTTGATTTTATAAATGGAGCCAGCCAGTGTGCCCTCTGGCATCTGACCTCTTTTCTCAACATTATGCTTATGAAATTCACCCAAATTGTTATCTCAGTGTATTTTGAAGTTATCTTAAAACTTTGAAAAAAAAATGTTCCTAGATGCCCGCATGGTAACAGCTTTACCCGAATACGACGAATTCTTGACCCTTAGGGGCTGCTCAGAGGTCCCGCGGGCCCCCCACTTAGGGAACCAGGTCCCCGCCTCCCTTCTCTCCGCCCACCTCGGAGGTTCGGTCTGCGGCTGCGCACAGCGCGCCCCGCCCGCGGGGGTGCGGTCACGTGACTGCGGCCGGCCCGCCAAGATGGCGGCCTCCTGCGTGGCCCTGGCGGCGCTCTCGCTCTGCCTGCCGCTGCTTCTGCTCGTCGCGTGGAAGCGCTGGCGGCGGGGGCGGGCGGCCCGGCACGTGGCGGTCGTGGTGCTGGGCGACGTGGGCCGCAGCCCCCGCATGCAGTACCATGCGCTGTCGTTGGCCAAACGCGGCTTCTCCGTGACCCTCCTGGGTTTCTGCAGTGAGTGCCCGGGGGGACAGGGAGGGAGGCTGCCCTCTCAGCCTTGAAGCCTCGGCTTTGACCGCCCCAGGGGGGCCGAGGCAGGGGCGCGCCGTTTCTCTCCCCTCCCTCGAGCAGCCCACCGGGATTGGCTGCGTCCTGGTCTGGTCTGGACAGCTGTTGCCAGGGTTCTGCCCAGCCTCTGCTGGGTGGGTCTCTAGGATCAGGTTGCCATATGGCAGCGATGTGCTAAGCTGCGTGAACTCATTGCATAGTCTCACTTAACCCTCCCAGTAAGTGGAAAGGCGGACTGGAACCTGGGCGCATGTGACTCCAGGTCGAGTGCTGCTAACCACATCTCCCTGGGGCTCCTGTCCTCAGGCTGTGTCTGAGCCGGCAACTTGCCTCCTCGCCATTCCTCACCCTCAGTGCAGAGCTCTGCAGGCAGGAGATGTTTCCTGTGCGTCTCTAGAGGATAGTTCAACCCCGGATCAGGGAAACGCGGGAACAGCGCTGCTTGCCTCTGGTCCCCGTTTAGACTCTGCTGTGCCAGAGTGACTCAGGGAGAGGCGTGGGACTTCCTAGGCTCTCTGTGTGGTGGGATAATTCCACCATCCAGGGAATCTGGATCAGTTTGAGTGCCTACTGTGTGCCAGGCATTATGTGAAGTAAATAAAAGTGGGTAAGATTCGGGTCCTTGCTATGTGGGCAATCCAGTGGAATCTGGACGAGAACTGGCCTCATTCTCTGTTCTGGCTGCTCAGGAACAGAGAGAGGTCTGGAAAAGTCGTATTTTTTAAAATACTCTCTGCTATTCGACCTGAGCTGGGGGTCATCTTGACTTTAAGTTAGATCGCCTGTTCAGTACCTTAAAGGGGACATTCTTTTCAGACTCCAAACCCCGCGAAGAGCTCTTGCAGAGCGACAGAATTCAGATTGTGGGTTTGACAGAACTTCAGAGACTCACAGGTACGGTGCAATGAACTCCCGATTCCTTTGAGTCTGTGTGTGTGTGGGTGCGTTGGGGGGAATCTGTAAATTGCCAAGAGGTCTTTTGGTAGTGACAGCTGTTTTTTGCCCTGCAGTAGGGCCCCACATTCTCCAGTATGGCGTCAAAGTCGTGTTTCAGGCCGTGCACTTGCTATGGAGGTTGATGTGCAGGGAGCCAGCAGCCTACATCTTTCTCCAGGTATATGTCGGCCCCCGCCTACCTCTGTGAGAACCACTGTTAAGGTTTCTTTACTCTCCAGCCTTTAAAAAATGCACAAATTGGTAAATAAATTGTATATTCTGTGTGTGTGTATATATAAACTTTTAAAAATGTGAGTAGGAGCTTATGGTGTGTGTCTATTCCATGTATGGTACCCATCCATTCTGTTTTTCTGTGTCGTTATAGATGGCGTCTCACATTGTACTTATTACACTTATCTCAGTGTTTTACGTGTATTAACTCATTTATTTCCTCACAGCAATCCTAAGAAGTAGGTTCTGGTATTACCTACCTTTTAGAGGTGGGAAATCCTAGACCCGGAATCACACCCAGAACTCTTCCTTGCACTGCTTTTTAACAGATAGAAGCCCCTCCTTTTAATTGGCTGCACTGTGTTCCTGTATGTGATGTACCCAGTGCGTTTATTTGGTCTCATCTTAATGGACACTCAGATTCTTCTTGACTTTTTCACTTTTACAAATAGTGTGGTGAAGAGCACCAGGGAACATGGGTTTTTTTGCAGTTTCTTCCTTAGGAGAAATTCCCGTGGGTGGACGTGCTTGGTCAGAGCTCAGGCACTTTTGGGGTGTGCCCCTGGAGAGTCCCAGAGTAAGGCTGGGTGCATTTATCCCCACCCGGGGGGAGGGGGGCTGCCTCTCCTGCCGCCTCCTCACCACCACTGGCTGTTGCCAGGTGTTTCAGAATTCGCATTCTGATAGGTGAGAAATTCACCTCCTTGTTCCATTTTTCATCTCCTTGATTATTGATGATCTTGGACTTGTCAGGTTGATCAGTTTTGTTTCTTTTATGACTTCTTATGCCTCTTTTGGTGAGAAAGAGGGTCTTTCTTCTGCTTAATTGACTATCAAGAGCTCTGTAAAGATAATGTACGTCGCAACTGTTTTCACTAAGTTTACTGTTGACCGTGGTCTGGGTTCCCTCCTGTTCATTCGCGTCTCTCTTTCCCAGAACCCTCCAGGCCTGCCCGCCATTGCCGTCTGCTGGTTTGTGGGCTGCCTCTGTGGGAGCAAGCTTGTCATCGACTGGCACAACTATGGCTACTCCATTATGGGTCTGGTGCATGGCCCCAGCCACCCCCTTGTTCTGCTGGCCAAATGGTGAGGGTCTGGGAGGAGGGTGCACACCATCCCCAAATCATGGTAGGAAGAAGGGCGAGTGCTGAGACTCAGGGAAGCTGGTTTTCCTGGTGCTCTGGGGGGCAAGGGCAAGGCTGGAGAGTTGGGCGCACGCTGGTTCCAAGTGATAGAAAGAGGCCTAAGAAAAAGACGGCGTTTGCTGATCCATGAAACTGGAAAGTTCAGAGAAATGGCTGACTTCGAGCTTCAGACGCTCTCCTGGAGGCGTTTCTCAGGTCTCAGTGGAGAGAGCGAGCCTCTGAGATTGGCTCGTGCTCCCTGCCATCCTCTGACCCCCACTGACACGGGGGGCTGCTGTACCCTGGGGTCTCAGGCTTGGGAGAAGTGCTCCACTGCAGAGCTGGGGTCCCAGGTCCACCCAGATCAGATCCCCCAGTTAAAACCAGGGGCTGCTGCTGGTGGATGGGGACACGGACCACAGTGTTCTGCCGCTGAGGAGACAGGGAGGGAAGGCCCTGTAGGAGCGGGTGGGCCTGGAGCGGGAGTCGGTCATGTTCTGAGCCCAAGTGTATAACATCTGCCTCCGTGTGGACCTGCAGCCTCAAGCCGTGGGCTGCGGCCTTTCCCGATGGCTCATACATCCTTGGTGGTAACAGTGGCAGCAATCAGTGAGCGCTTGCTTCATGCCAGGCCTCAGGCCAAGCCCTTTATCCCTTCAGTCTCCACTGCCCCCAGGGAGGCTATCCCCTGACTACCCCCCTTTACAAGCCAGGAAGCCGAGGCTGAGAGCCCTTATGCCGCTCGCCACAGAGCTGTTAAGTGTGAGGACCCAAATTCAGTCCCAGGCTGTCCAATGCTGGTGCTTTCTCTGTATCCAGTAGGGAACAGGTCATGAAACGCCAACAGCATAAAATAACCTGGAGCCGCTCATTCCCCTGCAGGTCTCTTTCAGCCTGCCCTGTCCTCAGGGCTCCGGGCTCAGCTGGGAGCTAATCAGCCGCGGAGGCCTCTCTCACATCTGCTAACCTCCACTTGGATGGCCTAGAGAGTGAGCCCCTGTGGCCCTGGTGCAGTGTGGCTGAGACTGAAGAACGAGGCCTTCATTGCATTCCTTCCTTTTATGGCAAGAGAGTCTGGATTTTCCCCTCTGTAATCATATATGCTTTCCTTTTAAAATAACGTATTTAAGCTGAAAAGTGACAAATTAAAGAAGGGTGTGAAGGAAATGATAGCACAGGTGGACTCAGCGTAGACACCAGGAAGGTGCCAGTGACTTGAGTTGGGAGACCCCAGCTCTGCAGCCTCTTCCGTATCAGGGGGTGTCCAGTGACACGCGGTGGCAGTGGTGGTGGGCTCTGGGCTGACCCGTGCTGTGTCTTTTCAGGTACGAGAAGCTCTGTGGGCGCCTCTCCCACCTGAACTTATGTGTGACCAACGCGATGCGGGAGGATCTGGCGGGGAACTGGGGCATCAAGTAAGGGCCAGGGGAGCGGGGGGTCCTGGCACGGCCAGTCCCAGCTGCAGTGCCTGCTGTGTGCTGTTGACGAGGGCTCTAGAAATAGCCAGGGGCCTGGGAGATGGCTATTGGTTTGAGGAAGCCGAGGGAGGGGGAGGCCGGAGTTTCCTTCCCAGCCAGCCAGGACAGGCGCTTTGGTCTTAGGACCTCTCTCTGTGCTTCCCCAGGTCCTTCTAAAGCTTCCTACTGGCCTTCTCTAAGACCAGGATCCTCTAAGTGCCCTTCTTTTTCTGGGTCCTCAGGGGTCTTATATTCCTCAGGCCCTTCTCTGGGCCTCCCTAGAGCCCCCGATGATCTCATTGCAGAGCCGTGACTGTCTACGACAAGCCAGCATCTTTCTTCAAAGAGACGCCCTTGGACCTGCAACACCAGCTCTTTATGAAGCTGGGCCGCACGTACTCTGTGTTCAGGGCCCGGTAGGCATCTGATCTTCGGTCTTCAGCTGCCTTCTCTTCCCCTCCCTGCTGTCCCAGCCTCTCCCCTCCCTGCCATCCTGGCCTCTTCCCTGTCTCGTCCCTGCTCTCCCGGCCTCTCCCCTGTCCCCTCCCTGCCATCCTGGTCTCTCCCCCTCCCCTCCTCCCTGCTGTCCCGGCCTCTCCCCTGTATGCATGCTGCAGACCTGGGAACCCCCTAATCCAGGGCTTGGCAGACTCCGGCTGCAGCCCTGGGCCTGTCTTTGTAAATGAAGCTTTATTGGGTCACTGCACATCCATTCATTTTCGCGCGCTCCATGGCTGCTACGGTAGCAGAGCTGTGCTGTGCAGCAGAGGCCCGTGGCCCCGAGTGTTTGCTCTCTGCCTCTGTAAGGTGATGTTTGCCTTGCGCTGGGCTGTGGCCCCTTTCCAGTGGGTTCCTGCCCTGTGGCAGGGTTGTGGGCCTGCATGTTCTCTGGGGCGTCTCATGGGGCTGAGGGGAGGCCCTGTGTGAGCTCTTCCCATCCGGGCGTCCTCTCCTCCCAGTGACCCAGGAGCCAGCGGGAGGGCAGCACCATCCTCCTCCTAAGTGGAGGTAATGACAAGAGCAGTCAGTCTGCCCTGAGAAGGCAAGCTGAGTCGGGCTTGTCTGCTGCTGTGACCTCAGCGCCTGGCAACAGATGAATACTGATAAAGAAGGAGAGCCAGGCGCGTGTCTGTGTTCCTGTGCTCCAGCCTCGGGCGGCGGGGACGGCCTGTTGGCTCTGATGTGGCCGAATCCCGACCTTCGGGAACCTGCAGCCTGTGTGGCAGGAGATGGCCGTCCTGGGGCTGCGGGCCTGTGCTAGGCCATCTCTCAGGCCCCGTTTCTGCTCCTTCAGCCCAGGACCCTTGGACCCGGCCACAGAGAGGTCGGCCTTCACAGAGCAGGACCCTCGGAGCGGGACAGTGATGCATCTGCACGGGCGGCCGGCCCTGCTGGTCAGCAGCACGAGCTGGACAGGTCTCGGCACCCTCCCGTCCCCTGGGGCTTGTCCAGGCACCTGGCTGAGCCTGTGTTCCCCCCCCAATGTCTTTGGAGACACTGGGGCCCCTATGAGAGAGGGGACGGCGTTGAGCTGGGAGGAGAAACATCTAGAAAACGGCCATGACACTGTTCTCTTTTCTTGTAGAGGATGAAGACTTCTCCATCTTGCTGGCAGCGTTAGAAAGTAGGTGTGTGGCTGTCAGCAGGAGCTGGGCTTGTGGGGCGCTTGAGCTGCCAGGTGCTCGCCGGGCCTTGCGTGGCGTCCTCTGCACCATGCTCCTGCCCCCGGGGCCACCGGGTGGGCCAGCCTGAGGGCACAGGTGGTGGAGGTGGTGGCTCTGAGTCCCCATTTGGGTCACTGAGTGACCAGGCCCTAGATCTGAAGTGCCGCCTCCAGGAGCCAGACCTTGTGGTTGGGATGGAACCCCTCCCCCCCCCAACCTCCCCCCTCCAACCTCTCCCAGCCCTCCCTCACTCCTCCACTCCAAACTCCCCTCCTTCCTCCTCCCCCACCCCTCCCTCCCTCCTCCACTCCAAACTCCCTTCCTTCCTCCTCCCCCACCCCTCCCTCCCTCCTCCACTCCAAACTCCCCTCCTTCCTCCTCCCCACCCCTCCCTCTCCTCCTCCCTCCCCCCTTCCTCCTCCCCCACCCCTCCCTCCCTCCTCCACTCCAACCTCCCTCACCCCTCCTCCCCCCATTCCAATCTCCTCCACCCCACCCTCACCCCTCCTCCTCCCTCCACTCCAACCTCCCCAGCACCCCTCCTCCTCCTCCCCCACCCTCCCTCACCCCTCCTTCTCCCTCCACTCCAACCTCCCCCAGCACCTCTCCTCCTCCTCCCCCACCCCTCCCTCACCCCCTCACACACCTGACTAGATGATCCTGGTTCTCATTTATTTATTTTTTTAAACACAGAGTTTGAACAGCTGATCCTGGATGGAGAGAGCCTTCCTTCTCTGGTCTGTGTGATAACAGGTACCGCCTGGGACCACCCACGTTCCCGGATAAATGGGGGCAGTGAAGGGAGGAGGGCACCTGCCTTCATTGGGTGCCTTCCCCACCTCCGCACGTGATGTTCCTGGTCTCCTTGATTTCACTACAACTCTCTGACAGAGGGTTTCCTACCCCAGCTTGACAGAGGGGGAAACAGGCTCAGGGAGGCCTCAGGGCAGGGCACAGAGTCTAGATTTGAATCTTGGGGAGCATGAGTGCAGAGATCCTGAGCTTCCCACTTCTGCAGTGGTTCCCCGGCTCCCTTTTTCAGACAAGAGTCCGCTGTTCAATGTAAAGTTGCTCCCAGGTAGCCCAGTGGAGGGAGGGAAGCAGAAGAGCTGAGGCTGGAGGCGCGTGGGCCTGGGACCGCTGCCCGCCTTGCGCACTCCCCCGCTCCTGGCTCCTGGGCTCCCAGGGTCGGGGGGCAGGAGCCCACCATACACACCGTGCCACCTGGGCTCCTGGTGGGGCACAGGGGTGTGTGTGTGTGAGGGGTCGACACTCGGGTGCCCGGCCGCCTGCCCAGCCTGAGGCCCGCGGTGTGGGTGGCCGGGGGAAGGCTGTGGGCTCAGCGGTCAGGGTCCGTGCCTCTGCGGGGTCGCCTGCTGCGCACGCCCTTGCAGGGGCTCCCCAGGCCTGGGGCCGCAGATGGGCCGTGTGGTGACTGAATTTCTCTGCAAGGCAAAGGGCCTCTGAAGGAGCATTACAGCCGCCTCCTTAGCCAGAAGCGTTTCCGGCACATCCAGGTCTGCACCCCGTGGCTGGAGGCCGAGGACTACCCACTGCTTCTAGGTGAGGGCGCCGGCAGGGGGCCTGCGGGGAGAGGCCTGAGGTTTAAAGGGGGGCAGAGTTTTTCTGAAAAGGGCCAGAGAGTAAATATTTTACCAGCCTGTCATGTAGTCTTTGTTTTTACAACCCTTTGACAGTTAAAAGCCGTTTTCAGCTCAAGGGCCATGAACTTGAATTTTCAGCTGCGGCCACACCCACACCCACACCCACACCCACACCCACACACACACACACACACACACACACACACACGCGCACACACACAGCCTCAGGCTGGGTTGGGCCCTGCTCCAGGGCCACCTAGGGCAGGAGACGCCGGCTCCAGGAACCTGTCGGAGGAGCTCTGGGCTGACCTCCAGAGGAAGTCCTTTCCCGGTGTGCCAGCTCCTCCCTGCCTGGCCCGGGGCTCTGTGCCCAGGGATTCCAAGGGGGTGCGTCCTCCCAGCTTCCACGCCTCCATTCAGTCCTACTGTTCTGTTCCCAGCAGAAGGGCTGGGCCTGGGCTGGAGTTGGGGCCCACCAGACCCCGCTCTGCTGCTCCCGTCATCTCCTCCGTCGGCATTACTCAGGGAGGCAGTGTCGGCCTGGTGCAGGTGAGCCTTGGGCCTCCGCGTCCTCCCGCCAGAGAGCACGGGCGGAGGCCGTGGCAGGAGCTCCCAGCCTGTGCTTAGGGACGGCAAGTTGTCTGTCTGGCGGTCTTTTCACAGCGACAGCTGGTTTTCTGTTGTGTCTGTGGAGTTCTTTTTCTGATTATTGTGATAAAATATAAATAACAAAATTTGCCATTTTAACCATTTTTAAGTGTATCTACAACTCACTGGCATTAATTACACTCACTGTGTTGAGCAATCATCGCCACTGTCTATTTCCAAAACAGTTTCATCACCCCAAGCAGAAACTCTGAACCCATTAAGCAATAATTGCTATGGGTTCTTTTAAAATAAATTGTGGCGAAGTAGAAAAAGGGAGTCAGTTTAAAGAAAAGTAGTAGTGGCAGGCAGGTGGTTTTGGAGGGGGCGAGCGGCCTGGAGTGGCTAGGGAAGCAGTGCTGTGTCCCGGCCCCGCGCCAGGCTGCTCAGCCGACTCCGGCCCGTTGTACGTGGGGTTGGGGGTGTTGTTACCCACTTCCCACTCCACAGCGGGCGGCAGTCCACAGTCCTCTGGGGTTCGTGTTCGCAGGCTCCGCGGACCTGGGCGTGTGCCTCCACAAGTCCTCCAGCGGCCTGGACCTGCCCATGAAGGTGGTGGACATGTTCGGGTGCTGCCTGCCCGTGTGCGCCGTGAACTTCCCCTGGTAGGAGCGGAAACCCAATCTTCCCAAGTTCGGTTCTCAAGTCAGCAGCTGGGGGGCGCTGTGCTGTCAGGATTCCCCGGGGAACGCCCCAGGAAGGTGCTGCCTCCCCGGCCTCGCAGCACGGCGGGGTTCCTGCGGGAGGGCCCCACGGAGGAGCTGGCCCCACTTAGTGCTCATGTGGAGTAAAAAACACGTGTGTTAAATGCTCTCCCAGGGGCTTGTGCTCCCGGGAGAACACGTGGCTGGAACTGCCCGCATGGTGTACGTGGTTTTAGTTCTCTTTCTATGTCCCTTTTGTCTGAGCTCATCTAGTTGGATTCAGATCAGTTAAATGAGTGTAATTCTCTGTCTCCACTCTTCCTGGCAAAGATGGGCGTTTGGAGAGGGCAGTGCTGGAAGGGCTTCTGGAAGCGGTAGTCCGCACGGCGGGGGAGTCAGTCGCTGAATGGGAAACAGGATGTTAGGCCCCCAGCTCCTGCACAGGCTGGGGTCAATGCCCTGCTTATCCAGAAGAATCCCCTCACTGTGCCACGCCCGCCTCCAGGGAGGCTGCCTTTTTTCCTCTGCTGTGGAAGTGAGGAAGAACGCAGAACTCATTGAGCACACTCTCACCGAAAAAAGCAGTGAGCAGAAAAGGCCCAAATCCCCTTGATTGTCCCTCCTTCCCCGAATCGGCCTGAATTGTTAATGTGTGTCCTTGCAGGTCTTTTTCCTGCTTAGACACCAGATCTAAGAACAGACTCAGTGAAACCAGGCTGACTGCTCCTGACCCCAGCTTAGCCTGAGGGTGGGGCAGGGGCCCCGTGGGCAGCACCGCTCGTGTCTCCTCCAGGCAGCTCTCAGGCCTCCCTCTGTTCTCTCTGTAGCTTACACGAGCTTGTGAAGCACGAGGAGAACGGCCTGGTCTTCGAGGACTCAGAGGAGCTGGCAGTTCAGCTGCAGGTGGGCACGGCCGCCCCCACACCAGGGCTGAGAGGGTTTGCAGGCTCGCACGGAGCCAGCTCCCGGATTCCTTGTTCCTGCAGCCGTGGGCCTGTGCTGGGTCTGGATGAAAAGCCGAGGGAGGGAGGGAGCGGTAGTCTCAGAGGCTGGGCGTCAGCGCCTCCGAGGAGTTAGGGCCCACCCTGGCTGCCCTCTGGGCTCCTGGAGCTCACACCACACTGACGCTAGAGCCAGGCGGACCGTGTGTGCGTTCAGGGAGCAATCGATCGGGTCTGAGGAGGGGGAGTGAGGAGAGAAGGGAGCCTCCTGGACCAGCCTCTCGGGATGGGTGGGGGTCTTCAAGGGCTCCTTATTTCTCGTTACAGAAAGTAGTGCATCATCACTCTTGACAGTTGAGACCAAAGGTGGCAAACTTTCTGGAAAGGGCCAGACAGAAAATCTTTGAGGCTTTGCCATAGTCTTTGTCAGAACTACTCAACTCTGTTGTGACGTGAAAGCAGCCACACACGATCTGTGAATGGAAGGGTGGGGCTGCGTTCCAATGAAGCTTTATTTAATGACAGGCGGAGGCCACGCTGGGCCGTAGTTCACAGGCACGTGACTTAGTTTAGCAAAGCTGGAAAGAGCACGGATGTTGCCCGCTTCCCAGCACGTGGGTCGGATGGTGCCGGGCAAAGGCTGAGGGGTGGGTGCCGTTGGTGGAAGGAACAGCAGAGCAGAGGGACAGGAACAGCTGCCACAGGGCACGGTGGGCGGGTGGTGTGGATGGTGGCCGCCGCAGCTTGGCTGCGCTGTCAAGGAGCAGCAGCGTAGGAGGTGGAGCGTGGCGCGGGCCTGCGGGGTCTGCTCTGCCCGCTGAGGGCAGGGCTTGATGGGTGGAGGGTACCAGGCTCAGAGCTGTGTTTGAGGACGGCAGTTAGCCAGGCCTGCCGTGGAGGCTGGGCCAGAGCGGGGAGGCCTGCCGGAGGCTGGAGGACACGGCTGCTGTCCTCAGAGTGTGGTGACGGGAGGGTTTCAGCAGAATCCCTGGCCTCCCTCCCGTGTTTGGGGGGGTGGGCAGGGATCCAGGCTGCTGGGAGGGAGGGGGACAGCTCCTGGGTGGGACCTGGCATCAGGGTGGGAAGTGGAGATGAGGTAAGTTCTGTCTTACTTTCCTTCTAGATGCTTTTGTCTGAGTTTCCGGATCCTGCGGGCAAGCTGAGCCAGTTCCGGGTGAACCTGCGTGAGTCAGAGCGGCTTCGCTGGGATGAGAGCTGGAAGCAGACGGTGCTCCCTTTGCTTATGGACACGTGACCACTTGGGCTGAAGCCCCTGAGCATGTCCTCGTGCTGGACGTCGTGAGGCGAGAGACCCTCACGTTGACACCACCCCCTCCTTCCATCCTGGGAGCCTGGCCCACTTCCCTCCTGCTGCCCCAGTCCCTCTGCAAACTCTGCAGAGCGGCGCCTCCCAGCAGCCGGCAACGGGAAGGACAGCCATGGGCGCCGCCTGTGGAATGAAGTTATTTTTATAACAACCAGGAGTTGACGCCCAGGAAGCTGGTCCAGCCTGGTGTCGTCTCTGCATTACTTCCCTCTCTCCTTCTGTCTGTGACTCTGTCTTCCCTCCCCAGCGTATTCCTGTTCTGTTGTTTGCTTGCGGCGTCTTCAACATCTTTTAGTCTGTTTTTGTGTCCTGGTGTCTGTCTGCCTTTCCAGCATCTGCCCTGTCTCGGCCCCGGTATTCTCATTCCTGCCTTGAGAACAGGCCCCGCAGCCCGCTGCGCTGTGAACGGACGATGCGCCACGAGGACAGCGGGCTCGGCTTCGTGAGGGATGCGTGTCCAGACTGGGGGGAAAACATACCCGATGTGTGTTTCTATTTGCACAAATGGAATGTTTCTCTCTGAGCCCGAGTTTTCGTTTCTGATTTTCTTGCTTGAGCACCAGGACCTCTGACAGAAGGGGCGCTACACGCATGCAGTGTTCATGCTTTATGAGAACACGGTTTGTGCTTCCTGTCTCGGGCTTTGACGTTGTTCGAGCATTCAAGTCCAACGAAAGGTTCCTCAGCTTTCCCACGCGTAAATTCTTTCCGGTAGTGATTTGACGTTCACATGAATCTCCAAAAACGTCTGCAGCCCTACAGCGTCAGTTTCAGGATTGCCGTCTCCGACTGCTCATCATAGGGAAACAGCTTCTGGTCGTGACGGGGCTCTGTCTCCCACTGGATCCCGGCCCGGCCTGCAAACGGAGCATTCGAGTCTCAGGATGGTGGGGTCTGGGGACAGGTGCCACCCCATCCACGCAGGGCTGCAGGACAGGCTGGGGGGCGTACAAACCACACATTTCCAGGCCCCCCCCCACACCCCTCGACTCGGACTCCGGGGGCGGGACCAGGAGTCATTCAACAGCTCACAGCAGCCAGATTTGCTGCCTCCGCCCACCAGGCCGGGCCCAGCCCTGGAAGGTCACGGCCCGTCTGGGTGCCCTGTCGCTCTCTGCGCCTGTCTTCTGCCTGTCACCGGCACAGCTGGGGGGGTGCCGAGACTCAACCTGCATCCGCCTGGGACCTGTGTCAGAAGGGCTCCTGTGCGCTGTGTGAGCAATGGTGTGCGAAGAGCCCTGGTGGGGATCATCTTGTCATCACCATTTTTTATGAATGAAAAATTAGTATTTACCAAAAAAATTAGACATAAAAGTGTCACAATCCTGCCATCCAAGTGTAACGACAGTTAACTGGTGTATATTCTTCCAGATTCCCCCCATACGTATTTCAGTATGAAGATGAGTTTTTAGAATAAAAATGGGCTTATGCCGTATATGCTGTCTGGCACTTTGCCTTAGAATATGTTGTGGATATGTTTTCACATGAGCATCTGGGGAAGGGCGTGCTCCTTTTTCGAGGCTGCACAGTGTTCCATCTGTGGGACACAGGCCCCTGTGGAGGGGCGTGTGGGTCGTCTGTGTGAGCAAAGGGGGCTCGGGAGGGGTGTGCTTGGGAGGGAGGTTGGGGCAGACACAGGGTCCCGCATGGCCGCCGGGCCACATGTGGACCCCTGGGCGGACCTGGCCCTGGCGGGGAGTGAGGTTGGTGGTCAGCAGTTATGGGGGGCGTGGTGGGTGGGGAGCACGGGTGCTGCTGGCTCTAGTCTGGGGAGCTCGGGCGGTCACTCAGCCTCCCTGTGCCCCGCGTCTCCGTGGGTGAGAGGGAGGATGGCAGCGCCCCTCCCCAGTCTGGGGGCTGACTCGTGTCAGGTCTGAGGACAGCGCCTGGCCCGCAGCGGTGCCAATCCAGGGCTGTAAACGGCACACGCTCCCTTTCTCTAACGTCATCCCTCGCTCTTCCTCCGTTTACTGGGTGCTTAATCTCCTAACAGCAGCAGCTACCATTTCTCCGCGTGCTCCCTGTGAGCCAGGCCCTGTTCCACCTCTGAGGTGGGCGTTTCCACTGTAAGGATGAGGACACGGAGGTGAGCGAGGGCCCAGCTCCACCAGGGTGGGTGGGGGATCCACCTGCACAGCGTGCGCCCAAAACCTTGTCATCCTGACACCACTGGCCGTCCCCTCCACTGTACAGACAAGGAAACCAAGGCCTTCAGGCTCTCGAAACCTGTTCTAAACAGAGTGGGGCCGCTGGTCCCAGACCTTTGGGATCACTGCCTTCCTCCCCGCAGAGCGCCCGCTCGCGGCCCTGCCTCCTCCGCTGACCTCCCGCGTCAGGGGCATCGGCCTAGCTCATTGTGCGGTCTGGGCTTCTGGCTTGGTCTCCAGGGCTCCATTCTTTCACTTTCCTGATTTCTGCCTCACTGGACTCCTGCGTGGGGCCAGCATAGTGGCCCTGCAGGCCTGGGTGACCTCTGGGAGACAGCAGCCCCTCCCAGGGCCCGGGGCTCACCTAGCTCGGCGGTGAACAGCTGGCACGTCTCCGGGTTGCGGACAGTGAAGGCGACGTAGGCCTCCAGCGCCTGCTGGTCCTCGCGGCACGCAGAGAGCCTCCGCAGGACGCCGGCCAGGGAGAGGGCTGTTTCTGGGCTGTACAGCACATCTGCGACGAGAAAGCCCAGTTACTGCAAGGGGCGCCCTGTGGGATGCAGGGCCCAGGAAGGTGGGTGCCGGGCTGTGCTGACCTCGGCAGCAGGGTGAGGCCTGGGTGGCCACAGTTCTATGAGACGGGGAGAAAATCGCTCAGGGGAAAAAGGAAAAGCCTTAGGAGAGAAGAAAAGCTGCTGAAACACAAAACTATCAAGGGTTCGTTGGTATTCCAAGAGAAAAAATATCAACTCCTTGCCTATGGCCTATTTCACTGTTGGTGCCCTTGAGCGGATTCTGACTCCCAGCGCCCCTGTGCACAGCAGCGGAACCCTGCCCGGTCTTTCTGTGCCGTCCTCACCTGCCAGTCCTATGTCAGACAATGCTCTGCTGCTCTTTACAGGGTTTTCACAGACAACTTTTTCAGAAGTGGGTGGCCAGGTCCTTCTTCCTAGTCTGCCTTAGTCTGGAAGCTCCACTGGAACCTGTCCACCATGGGGGACCCTGATGGTATTTGACATACCGGTGGCACAGCTTTCAGCATCACAGCAACATGCAGCCACCACAGTGTGACAACCGACAGACGGGTGTGTGGTTCCCTGACCAGGAAACAAACCTGGGCCGCGGCTGTGAGAACCCAGAATCTTAACCACTGGACCCCGAGGGCTGGCTACTTAGAAGGCTGGCTTTTCAGAAGACGCTTAACGAAGCCAACCCTGAGTGCCTGCCTTGGTCCTCTTATTCTGGTGGCCTGCCACTTTGTTAGCTGCACTGTGGGGGACAAGCTCGCTCCCGCCCATCAGCTGGGCTTGCAGGGCCAGACGTCACTGTGGGGTGCGCTGCCCCGGCTCTGCCTTCAGACGGTGACGCAGGAGCAGAGGCACAGCACCGTCAGCCACGTAGGGGACCAAGTGAGCTCGGTGGAGGACGAGGGGCCTGTTGGTGGCCACGCCAAACATCCTTCTCTCAAGGACCCTGTCCTTGCACCAGAACTGGGTGGTCCCCTCCCTGAGGTGGGGGTCACCTCTGAAAGAGGCCGGGGCATGACCCTAGGATAGAGATGCGCAGGCAGAGCTCTGGGCCTTGGGGACATGTAGTGATAACACGGATGTGCACGTAGCAGCCAGAAGCAAGTGCTAACAGGGGTGGGGACACTCGGAGCGCATTCCTTGACTCGGCCACACTGCAGCCTGGCCAGGGCTGGGTGTCGTGACACACAAAGGAATCCAACATCGCCCTAGGAGAATCAGGCTGTTCTTCGTGGCCGAGACAGGCTGCCTTGGCCACTTCCGCCCCACGTCGGAAGACAGGGTAGGGCTGGAGGTGGGGCTGGCTCGGCTCGCTGGCTTCGCGGGGCTGCTCTGGACACTTCGTTTTGGTTCTGGATGGCAACCGAGATGCCTCCCTCAGGCTGCTGGAGACGGACATGCAAGTCTGTCTACTGGGCTGCAGCCGGCCAAGGATGGTCAGACTGGTCTGGTGCTCGGGGGCCTGATCTGTTCACTCCAGGCCTTGCTGGGACGAGCCAGGGTCCTTTGATGATGGAACCATTATAATGGAAGGACATGGTCTCAAACGGGAGGGCTGTGGCTTGAGGGCACCCAGGAGGGACACTGTGTGCTTTGATGTCTCCCTGGGGGCCCACACGACCCTTCTTGAGTCCCAGCACTGCCCCACCGCGCAGCCTCCAGTGTCCCCTCCCCTGAGCTGAGAGCTGGGTGCAGCCGCTTGCTCCAGTGGCCTGGGCTGGGCGGTACCTGCAGCGATGACGATGTCTGGCTGGAAGGCAGCGAGCTGAGGGACCGTCACGACATCCCAGTCCAACCAGGCCACTGTCACCCTGGGGCTCTCTGGGTCGCGGGTGTCGTGTCCTGGGTGCTGCACAGGAGCGGTCACATCTGGCTCCAACGAGAGGCCATTGAGAAGGACGTTCCCCCGAAGCTGCTCGAGGACACGGCTGTGACAGTCGCTGAAGATGTATGCTCTGGGTCGGCACATCTTGCAAATGGCCAGGCCCGTGAGGCCAGCTCCACTGCCAAGCTCCAGGACAGTCCTGGGTGGGAGAAGGGGACCCATGTCCGTGACTGTGCAGGGGCCAACCTGCCTCGTCGCCTGCCCTGTGCCCCCAGGTCACCTGTGAGTGAAGGCTGCTGGGTGTTCGAGGGCCCACTCCGTGAGGTAGAGGGCGGCGTTCCAAGTGACCAGGCCCGTGGTGCCATGGGAGATGATGGCCGTGCTCTCAGAGAGCGTGACCGAGTCCCCGGAAGGCTGGACCGAGACAAAGAGAGAGAATTAACCCAGCCACCAGGACACAAGCAGCTGGCATTAAAAAAAAATCACAACAGGTGGATGGCTAAACAAACTCTGGTCCATCGATGCCACAGAACGCTACACAGCAATGAAAAGGAACACACCACCGGTGCGTGCACCCACCTGGACGGATCTCAGGGGCACAATGCTGAGCGAAAAAAGCCAATCTCAGAGGGTCACATGCTGTGTGATTCCATTTATCTAACATCCTCAACAGGACGGAATTGTGGAGATGGAGAACAGATCGGTGGTTACTGGGGGTAGGGATGGTGGGGACGGGGATGGGTGTGACTATCACGGGTGGCATGAAGGAGGTCTTCGTGGCGAGGGAACAGCTTTGTATCCTGACTGCCGTGGTGTCTGAGCAGATCCACATGGTTGACAAGTGACGTGGAGCTACACACATGGTGCCAACATCAACATTCTGGTTGGATGCTGCACGACTCATGTGGGATGTTCCCACTGGGGAAACTGGAGAAAGGGCCCACAGGACCTCTCTCACTATTTCTGCAGCTTCCTGTGAATCTATAATTACTAACGAAAAAAAATCACAATTCTCTGGCATCGTGAGCTTTATGTGAAAATCTCAGCATGTGGGGCCTTCCTCAGTTCAACCTGACGTTTGGGGTTGGGAAGTCTCGGCCTTTGGAGTGTCTGGTTGCTCCCAAAGCAGGTGGATGACGCCTCGCTCGGTTTGCGGGCAACTGCTTCCTGGGACACGTGGTCCTGGAACGTGTTCTCCAAGCCTGGGCTGCTGTGAACGGCACCCATGACACGCGATGGCCCGAGCCGGGGGGCGGAGCAGGGGGCTTCTGGCTGTCTGACCTCACAGAGCTCAGGTGGGGGTTCAGGTCTCTGAGTGTCGTTAGCATCATTTGTTCACACATTCATCCACTCATTTTTCCTGAGCATCTACTATGGGTGCTGGGGGTTCAGCTGTGACAAGATGAACTCATTTGCTGCCCTCACAGAACTGACGTTCCAGTAGAGGATACAAACCATGATAAACAAAGAAGGGAATGTCACAGCTATGCAGTGTTAGGAAGAAAATAAAAAGGACCACATGGTAATAGGAGACTGGACGTCTACTTCGGATAGATTGGTCAGGGGCAGCCTCTTTGAGGAGGTGACCTGAGATCTGGGTGAAAAGGAGGCATGTGGGGGTCTGGGGAGAGAGCATTCCTGGCAGAGCGAGTGCAAAGGCCCTGAGGCAGCACTGTGGTTGGTGAGTTCAGGGAAGAGAGAGAAGCCCAGAGGTTGCGGTGCAGGGAGAGCAGAAGGAACTACACCAGAGAGAAAGGCCGGGGCAGGGCATGCAGGGCCGTGTGGGCCACATAAGGAAGGAGGATTTGAGTCTAAGTGCGAAGAAGGGAGGCCACGGGTGGGTTCTGCGAGGTAAGTGACTCACGTCTTAAATCAGGGGGTCGCTCTAGGGGATTCTGGGAAGGTGGTGGCAACGCTGTTTTGAACCTTCCTGAATCCCCACATAAGAACAGACAGAGCAGCTAGACACGGGCAACATTTACAACAAAACTGGGGGAAAAGGTGCGATGAGAAAACAACTTTGTTTTTCTGAGTTGCTGCCGTGACATTTCACAGTATGATAGCTGTGCTCATACCCAGAGCCTGGACGCTCAGACAAGGACTTGAGTTTAGGATTCCCACCAGTTTCCTGCTTTGCTCCTCCCAGGGCGCCTTTTAAAATAACCAGAGTTAAGCCTTTGGAAAGTGAGTGACCTCTGCCCCAACCTCCTTCGAAGTAACAGGGGCTTGGTCCCCTGCTCTCAGTCTCCTGCTCGCCTGTGACCTGGGACCTCTCCCCAGCTCATTACACACACACACACACACACACCCCTGCTTCTGGGATCTGTAAGCAACAAGTCTTGTGACTCTACCCGCTTTGTGTCAGAGTATTGAAACTGCGCCTTCAACCAAAACAACCCCGTGGATTTCACTCCCCCAGCGTGGGAGCGTGGATGCCGACAGCTCCCTGCTGGCCCGCGTGGGTGGTCTGTGGCCCCTCACTCCGCAGGTCATAATCCACATATTCTTAATTCAATACACCAGCCCTGGGTTCTCAACAAGCAAGGATCTCTGTAAACCCGAAAATACCGACGGGGCGGGCAAAGCGCAACAGACGTGACCCTGGTGTGCTCAACATGTCTGCCCAGATAGAAGAGGGGAGCAACGGGTGCGTGACAGGCCTGAGGACAGGAGAACCCCAGCAGTCAGCAGGCATTCGCTGGAGACGCAGGGGCCGGCCAAGGAAGGAAGTGGCCTGCTCCAGTGGGGGGTGGTGTGAGGGACCCGGGGCCAGGCCTGATGGCCGCCAGCCACACTCAGAAATGTGTGACAATAACAGAAAACATCATTTCTGAAATAAAGACTACTTGAAGGAACATGAGAATGAAAACAGACAAACCCTGAAGAGAAACAGGAGGAGAAAAGGGGTGAAATTTTAAAAATCAAAAAGAAATTAGGAAAGAGACTGTCATGGGTCGAACTGTTTCCTCCCCAAATTCATATGCTGGAGTCCTCACCCCCAGCACCTCACGTGTGACCTTACTCAGAGATGAGGTCTTTACAGAGGGAACTGAGTTAAAATGAGAGCGTGAGGGTGGGCCCTAGTGCAATGGGATCTGTGTCCTTAGGAGAAGAGATCAGGACACAGACAGGCACAGAGGGAGACGATGTGAGGAGACGGGGAAGATGGCCGCCGAGGAGAGGCCTGGAACACACCCTCCCCTCACAGCCTCGGAAGGAACCAACCCTGCCCCACTGGGATCTCACACTTAAGCTTCCGGAGTTGTGAGATGATACATTTCTGTTGTTTAAACCATCCAGTTTTAGATATTTAGTTATGGGGTGGGGGGGGAAGCAAAGAACACTAAAAATCATAATTCAAAAAAGCATTCCAGAAAAAACAAGATTACTGATCCAGAAAGACCGATCTCAAGACATATTCTAGTAAAATTACTGGACTTTAAAGCAAAAATCCGGGGCCAGCCCTGCAGCTGAGTGGTTAAGTTCACGTGCTCCGCTTCGGTGGCCCAGGGTTTTGCCGTCTTGGATCCTGGGTGCGGACATGGCACTGCTCGTCAGGCCACAGTGGGGCAGCATCCCACATGCCACAACCAGAGGGACCTACAACTAGAATATACAACTATGTACTGGGGAGCTTTGGGGAGAAGAAGAAGAAGAAGAAAAAAATTGGCAACAGATTTAAGCTCAGGGCCAATCTTAAAAGAAAAAAAAAAAGGAAAAATCCTTTGGCTACCTAAGAGAAAAGGGCTTGTGCATAAACGGGAAGGAAAATTAAATTATCCTAAGGCTTTTCCACTGCAAAGCTTTATGCCAATGAGAATGGAGAGAAAATGTGAGCCAGGATTCATGTGTAAATGGCTCGAACTGTTGTCAACATGCAAGAACTCTGGGAAGGTCAATCCTGTGAGCACTTCTTAAAGAACCTACTAGAAAACGAACTTCAGACAACCCAACGGCTGGGGTGACATCAACATACGGACTGATGGAGGGCTCTAAAGATAGTCACCTGTTGAACTAAGACTGAATGGGACTGAAAAGAGAATGGTAGGCTTGCTTGGTCAGACAACATTTACGCCCCAACCCCTGGGCCCTGTTTCTTAGCAAAGGGACTCTGAAGATGCGCTTATGGTGCAGAATTCAAGATGGGGAAATTATCCTGGATGATCCGGGTGGGCCCAACTTAGTCATCTGAGCCCGTAACAGCGGTGCTCCCATCTGAGAGATGCAGAGGAAGAGGCAGGAGAGATCTGAACCGCGAGAGAACGTGACCAGCTGTCGCTGGCTTTGGAGATGAAGGGGCCATGAGTCAGGGGACACTGGGCGGCCTCTGGAAGCTGAGAACAGCCCCTGACCAAGAGGCGGCAAGGAAATGGAACGTCAGTCCTGCAGCCACAGGAGACGGAAGTGTGCTGACAGCCTGGACGGGCCTGGCCGCGGGTTCTCCCCCGGCAGATGCCCTGACTTCAGCCCCGTGAGACTCAAAGAGGAGAGGGCAGCTGGGCCGATCGGCTCTGACCCGTGGAATGTAGGAGAACACGTTTATGTTGCTTCCGGCAGCTGAGCTGTGGTAACACTGCGTCATGGCTCTAAGATGAAAATATAGTTATGGTACGGCCACGAACAAACAAAACGAGGGAGAATGGGGATAACATGTAAAAACGGACTGTTTTCAGTAACCATAAGAGAGTGGGAGGGATTAGAACCTTTGAGACGGTGGCCTGAGTTCCATGGCGTAAAGCAAATAGGCCGGTGGGGGACGTCACCCGCCGTGCTCTCGGGAACCAGAATTTCCAGTGCAGAAGGGAGACACAGACGCAATGTAAAGAGGTCGCGTGAAAACCCTGCGTTCTGATTTTGAGTCAGAAACATCAGCATGGACTCACGAGGTTTTCTGTCTTAAGTACGGGTCTCTGTCACCACCACATCCCAGCTCTGCCCACTGGAAGGGCCTGGACAGGAGCCAGGAGCATCCCTAACGCCCAGACGGTGGTCTCTAAGCATCATTTCCCTCGAAAGGAAACCAGGGCTTCCTGAAGACGTGGCTGATTCCAGGCCTGGGGCAGGAAATACACAGCTGAGTCTGGAAAAGCTTGACAGAAAATGGCACAAGAACACTATGAGGGTGATGTCAGAGGACTCAGAAGCCCATTTGAAAAGGCTCAAAACAGCACAGTTTGAGCATCAACAAGGGTGTGATGGCAGGGCTGGAATCCCTTCTGGGGATGGTAAGAAACTAATTCACCATGTTGAAAAGGCAAGAATCAGGCCTGTTTCCCTCCTTTCCTCTACGAGCTGCACCACCGGGGAACCAAACAGTGGACGAAGGGAGGCATCTCCTGATAAAATTTCTCCACGTAATGAATGGAAACAATGACAGAAGCAGAAAATCACCCTTTTGCATCCCCCCGTGAATTAATGCGTCTAAGCTTTGGGCACCCATAACTGCTACCATTAAAAGGGTGAAAAAACAGATACGATGCGCCTCCTAGAACCCCATACTGTGTTCTTGCCAAGAGGATCAAACGGACGTGCGTCTGAGCGGGCCTCTGAATCCAGCTGCCATAGGTGGGAAACAGAGGCGACAGGAACAAGCTGAACAGCACCATGCACGTGCACCCACATCCAGCCTGCGGAAGGCTGTGCAGGCCACACCGCCAGGGCTGTTCCACAGAGACACGGCCGGGAAAAGAAAGAGCTGGGGGGACCTGTGGACAGAGGGGGACATCACGCCAGACCTAGTTAACGGGCAAGACTGTATGTCAGTGTTCAGAGATGCGCACGCGAGAGGCAGAGGGCGGTTACTTCTGCAGGGAGGGAGGGCAGGGATGGGGGTGGGGCAGGCGGGGGACCTTGGGGGCCGGCTGCCAAAGTCCTGGACCAGATTGGCGGTTACCACGGTGGCCGCCTTGCAACGATTCAATCATCTGTGTATTTCCTTTGTGAGATATCCTACATCTAGGTTTTATTTTATAATAAAAGGTTAAAACAAGTAAACAAAAGACCCTGAGGTCCTTCTGTGAGTTGCGTGTAGAAGGGATTTTTGTGGGGCAAGAAGCTGCGAGACCAGGCGGAAGGCCGTGGCACCTGTCCAGGCGGGTGAGGACAGCGGCGGTGGAGGGTGGGAAGAGACTGCTGTCCCATAACCCCCACCTATCAAGTATTTATTTATTTATTTATTTATTTGAGGAAGACTAGCCATGAGCTAACTGCTGCCAATCCTCCTCTTTTTGCTGAGGAAGGCTGGCCCTGAGCTAACATCCGTGCCAATCTTCCTCTACTTTATATGTGGGACGCCTATCACAGCATGGCTTTTGCCAAGCAGTGCCATGTCCACACCCGGGATCCAAACCGATGAACCCCGGGCTGCCGAGAAGTGGAACGTGCGAACTTAACTGCTGTGCCACTGGGCCGGTCCCCATCAAATATTTATTGAGCGCTGAGTCCCGGGCCCCTGCTGTGCAGTTACTGGGCGTTCCCAAATTTAACCCCCAGCCATCCCATAAGATAGGTACCATTATTTGTTGAGGTACTTGGTTTACAGATGAGGAAACTGAGGCTCAGGGAGGTTAACTGGCCCCGTCTAAGACCACAGAGCTGCCGACTCGGGATGTGAGCCCACGGGAGGCTGCCCGGAGCTTGAGTTCTAACTCTGCCTCTGATTGTGTTCTAGCTCGGCAGTCTGCCCCGGGTGGGAGGGGTGCAGGTCTCCTACCAGCAGATAGCTCCTGTGGCAGCGGGTGCGCTCCTCGGCCGTCAGGACCTCCGCCAACGCCTCGTACAGTTCGTCCAAAGGCTCCGCATGGACAGCCTCGTGCTGGGGGTGGACAGAGCGAGAGCTTCAGCCAAGAGGACCAAGTTGACCTCATGAATCAGACGGAGGTCCTATTTGCTGTTACTCTGACTTCTAAAAGTGGACGGAGGATTTTCAGCAAATTTGGAGGGGAGGTTCGGGATGGACTGACTGAATACAGGCCACCGGGCATATCAAAAACTCGCTTGGTGGGGGGACCTGGGGGAACCCTGGAGAGGTGTGGAGAGGGTCATGTGCCCTCTAGGGCGGCAGAAACGGGACTGTATGAGTCACCGTGTGATGGGGACAGGGAGCTCTGCCCTTCCACCCTGCTGTCGTGGATGGAGGAAACAGCGAGCCCCAGCAAGGCCACCAGGACGGACACTCCATTCCACGGGGGGTGGTCTCCATCAAGCTGCTTCTCAGCGGGCAGGCCCCGTCACGCGCCTCACAGGGCAGCAGCAGGCAGCCAGGCTTCTCCTGGTGGCGCTGGGGAGGCCTGTTGGCAATGACTAGATGCTCCATTTGCTGAGAACGGGGGCGGGAGGGCGGGGGTAACAGAGAAGCCGGGACCGTGCCGTGGCTAACCCTGGGTGAGGCGCAGTCCTCGTGTTTGGCGGCTGAGCACACCTGGTCTGCTGCTGACCACTGAGGAGCTGCCTCTCTCAAGTCCAGTCTAATGTGAAACCCAGCAAGTCTGGGCTCATCCTTAGAAGCCATCCTGTATCCATCAGGAAAAGAGTCCACACCAGGTCGTTCACCGGTGGGAGGGTGCGCTAATTACAAAGGTACTGCCAGACCTAAAACCTCCAGCAGAGGCCAGCGAGGCAAGCCAGAGACTGGCAACGGCAGGAAACCATCAAAACCCCTCTGGCTGGGAGGACAGGGGGAGAAGGTGGCGTTCCTGAGCTCAGGGGCTGCCGGGTAGGAATGAGAACCTCCACGAGGCGGGGGTGGGGGGTCAGGAGGCTAGGACCATATGGGAGATGCAGCTGCTGCCAGAGACTCCTCGAAGCAGAGAGGGAGAAATACCTGGCCTCTCCCTTCCTCCTGCCCTCCATGGCCTTTCATTGGTGCAACTCAGCTAGGAGCAGTTGCCCAGATCTGAGCTCCAACAGGCAAAGCCAAGTCACAGAACCCACCGCTGGACAGCCAGCCGAGACCCAGCTGCTGCCTGGGTACTGGACAGGCAGTGCCCATCACTGACCTTTCTGATGAGCTCTGAGAGAAAGCCCCGGGTGTACTTCACTGACGGCGGGTGCTTCACGCACAGAGGATGCTTCACGGTCTGTGACAAAGGACACGGGGCGGTTGCTTCAGTCTCCCCTGAGCTTCAGCTGAACACAGGGCAAACCCAAGGAACCGATCCCTCAGCAAAGACGTGCACAGCCCCAAGGGTTCTGGCCCCAGCTGACCCTCACGCGTCGGAAAGAGTAAGTCTTAAGATAAAAGCTCTTTCCTAAAAAAATTTCGCCACTGCAGCAGCACAGACTGTGGCAGTGTTTCTAATGCCCGTTCTGGGCAGGAACATGGGGCACACAGATCTCAGATAACATTCTGCTGTAGACTGAGTGTTTGTGCCCCTCCAAGGTTCCTATGTTGAAATCCTAACCCCCAATGTGAGGGTGTTAGGAGGTGGGGCTTCAGGACAGGATTAGGTTATGAGCAGGGAGCCCTCAGGAATGGGATTAGTGTCCTTATAAGAGACCCCAGAGATCTCCCTCACTCCTCCCACCGTGTGAGGACAGAGCAAGAAGACGGCCGTCTATGAAGCAGGAAGCGGCTGGTGGCACTTTGAACTTGGACTTCTAGCCCCCAGAACAGTGAGAAATGAATTCCTGTTGTTTATAAGCCACCTGGTCTCTGGGATTCTGTTAGAGCTGCTGGAAAGGACTAAGACACAACACTTCCCAGGGCAGCCGGCACGAACCAGAGATGGCAGTGAGGACAACTGTGGGACTGCCCGGCTCCGTGAAGAGGTGAGAGCCCAAATGTTGGGAAGAGGCAGATCGGGCACCTGCCCTCCTGGGGTCACATCCCAGGCCAAGGAGATGAGTGGGAGCCAGGCTGTGAGGAGCGCTGTGATGGCCAGGGCAGAGGAAGACGGGCTGGCGCAGGGTGGGCATGGGGGTGGGGGGTGGTGTTAGCTTTTAACCTCAGGGTGGCAATCAGAGCTGGCTGCAAGATACCGACCTCAGAGCACGGTCCTGAGCTACTGGACGGCCCTGGAAGTCTTCCATAGCTACAGCCGCATCTTTCCCGCGTAGGGGTCAGATGGATAATCTCGGGTCGCCCTCCACACAGGAGTTCCTACCCTGGGCTCGTTGCACAGGCTTGGTGGATGGAAGGGGGTCTGTGACTCCCCTGAACTTGTACACAAAAGGCATTCTTCTGGTGCACTTTTTTCTTGGGAGAGAGTCCACAGCTTTGGGCTTTCAAAAGGGTCCAGGGCCCTTAAGAGGATTAAGAGCCAAGATGCACTCAATCCACGTGGCCAGGGGCATGGTGGGGCCAGGCCAGGCAGAGTGGTGGTATCACCCCTACCCCACACCCAGATGCACCTTAGAATCCAAACCCCACCTCCAAAAAAAGCAGGGGCTCATACGTGTAGGGGCAAGACTCGCCTCCTTCTTTTTTCCTTAAATGTAAAGAAGAAAGTCTCTGAGCAGCTAGCAAATGCCAGAAGACATTCCCACAGCTGTCATCTCTGTTTTCACTGCAGACAGTGTAAAAACATCCCCTAGGTTCCCTCCTTTCACGCAGATTTTTGTACATTCTGATGTCTTTATCTAAGGAAACCAAGGAGCCGGAGCTGTCTGAGGGGCTGCCCCCCAAGTGCAGTGTCTTTCTTTTTAAAGGATACGAACGCTCCCAATGCGCTTCTGTTATGGGCAAGCCAGGGGTGATTCTGCGGTGCTCACCTTCTGCAAAATATCCAGCAGCAGCTCGGAACCCGATGAGTCTCTTAATTTCTCTTCCAGGTTCTATTCGGAGAAAGGGGGAGGGGGAGAGAGAAATCTCAGGGGCATTTTCACAGGAACAGTAAATATGAAATAGGACATGGTGGCCAAGCGCTCAGTGATCTCTCCCCAGGGATCCGGGGCCAACTGGAAGTGGAAGCCACAGGCGGCTGAAGCCTGACCTTGAGAAGTCCCGGGTCACACCTGGGTGAGTTAGAAGACAGACTCTGGCTGTGCACCAATCCCGGCTACTCAGCCTGGCGGAGGTCACAGCCCAGCTCTGAGACTGAAACGGTCGGCCAGGAATTACGGGGGAGCCACGGCAGCCACGCCTGATGGATTCGCCCTGGACTTGACACCTGACTTAAATGGACAACAGATGTGCAGCCGCCAGGCCCGCTCACGCTGTCCTCTCCTGCAAGGGGCTCCATCCCAAGAGGGAGCTCAGGTTCCGGGAGGAGGCAGACCAGCCCAGCCGGAGTGCGACATCAGGAAGTCACTTCATTTCTCTGGAGCTCCTTTCCAAGCACTAAAAGGCTACAAGACCTGGCCCTGGCCGCTCTCTCTGACCTCGTCTGCCACCACCCTCCTCCCATCCCTGCTCACGCCACTCCGGCCTCACCGGCCTCCTAAGTGCAGCTTCTTCTCACCGGCAAGACCCTCCCACGGCTGCCGGCCACTGTACTGTTCAGGTCCTGGCTCAAATGTCACCTCCTCGGGGAGGCCTTCCCGACTCTCCTACTTTGATGATACATTTCCCTGTTTTATTGACCGTATAGCCACTGTCATCTTCTGGTGCTTTCTTGCTTATTCATTTACCTGCTCATTCTCTGGCTCTCCCACCTGAGCAGGGCCTCATCAGTAACGTGTACCGCTGATCCTGGTGCCTGGCTCGTGGCAGGCATTCAGTAAACATTTGGTGACGGAATAAAAATAAGAGCCAACACTTACATTCACTTACCACGAGCCGGGCACCAGGATCAGGTAACTGCCTCAGGTGCTTCTTAATCATGTAATCCTGACAACAGCCCTATGAGATGAGCATCATTATACCCCCGTTTACTAATGAAAAAACTAAGGCACAGAGAGATGCAGTCACTTGCCCAACGTCACACAGCATGTATGGGGTTGGGCCAGGGTTCAAAGCAGGCAGGGTGTCTCCCAGGTCTGAGCACTCCACTTTTCTCATCCAACAACCTTTCTGGTCAAACGCAAATGACAGTAACAGCCCACAACCGCACGCATGCTGTGGGCCAGCCTAGGGAAGCAGTGAGCACGACTCTGGTGCAGAGTAAGCATCCATTTCATGTGAACCATTACAGTCGATGTTGAATTGGGACCTGTGCATGCTTTTAGGAAAAGATTTAAGTTTTGAGTTGAAAAGTTTCTGATCAGAGACACTCTCTCAGAATGCTAACCGGTTTATGTCAACGAGGCAAATGACTAAACACACCGGCCCTCAAGATGGGCAGCGAAGGGAGCCATAGGTATCCCAACTGAGTCAGCCAGTGAGCTCACCGCACATGAATTACACGAATTACGAAGGAGACGTGTCATCAGAGCCCCGGGCTTGGCGCGTCCCAGGGCAGGCGGGTGAGCTGTCTCTTTCCAGGCCTGTGTTGTACATCTCTGTCGCTTCCATCAGAGGCGTAAGAGCCTGATGCTGATGACACAGATAAGAACAGGAGGCCTGGGGGGAGGTCTGTGACCTGGTCACAGCGCCCACGGCAACGTGGTCTCCGGCTGGCCTGAGGATGCCGCTGCCTGTTTAAACGGGCAGCAACAGCTGTTATCCAATGTCCAGGAGGATAACTGGCTAAAAAAACAAAAGTAATGAAATTGATCGTGAACTGTCTATGACCCTAAAGACCCGAGTGTAAAAGGGAGTTGGGAGGAAATCCCGCGTTCCTTGAACATTTAGCACTCAGTCTGAGAAAGCAGCGAGGGCGGGAAGGGCCCACGCAAGGAGGGAGCTGATCCTGCGTGCAGCGTGGGTCCCCGAGGTCGCGCAGGTGCGCCCCCTGCTCCCCGCTGCCCTCCCGCGTGGCCCCGGCGAAGAACCGGGACAAGGATCCCGGGACGAGGACCGGCCGTGCGGTCCCGACACGCGAGGGAGCCGGGAACATCACGTGGCGGGAAGGACGAGGTGGGAGCCCGGAGCGCAGCCCGCGCAGCCCCCGCCGCCCCCAGCGCGCCCCGCCGCCCACCTGCCAGGGGAAGGAGCGCAGCGCGCGCGCCGCCAGGAAGCGGCGCTCGAAACTCCGCAGCAGGCGCGCGGCCTCCTCGCTCTCCTCGGGCGCCATGGCGGGGCGGGGCTGCGGCGTTGCCGGGGAGACGGGGCGGGAGTCGGGCTGCGCCCGGAGGAGGCGAGCCCCGGGCGGGGTGCGGGCTCGGGGGCGGGGCTCGGGGCGGGGCCAGGCGCCGCTGGCGCGGTGGGAGGCGGGGCTTAGGGCGGAGTCAGGCTCTGCTCGAGCGCGGGAGGCGGGGCCTAGGGCGGAGTCAGGGGCGGGGCTAAGTGATGCTTAGGTCTTGGGAGGCGGGCTTGGGGCGGGTTCGAGGTGGGCTCATGGGGGGGAGCTCTGGGGGGGGGGTTTGGGGCCTGGGTGGTGGGGTCCGGGCGGGGCCGGGGCCTCGGCGGGGAGGAGTCCAGGTTTGGCGCGAAGTTGGGCCGGGCGGGGCTGCGAGGGCTCCCTGGGAACGTGCTGTCCGGCCCAGGGCCAGGTAATCCTTCTCGCTGTTCCTGCCCCTTCAAGGAGGGTCTTTCTGGCAGGGCCCTGTGGGTGGACGCTGCGCCCGGCCGGCCTTATACTAGCCCTCTCCCCATCAGGGCCGCCCCTCTGGGACTGGGCGGGAAGGAGCCTGACGGCCCGCAGGCCCAGCGCAGGTGCAGGGTGCCTCCTCAGGCGCAGGGGCCGGGGGCTCAGGCCATCACCGCCCTTTCTCTCCTTGGACAGGGCATTCAGGTCAACGTCTTGGTTCACAAACTGGCCCCCATACTCGGAGGGCAAGGAGGGACCGAAGAAAGAGCTAGATCACTCCAGACTAATAGGTGGCAGGTTTAACAAGCAGGAGAACTCACTTAAGAGGTTTGTCTTGGGCTGGGCAAGACGAATAGATCTCCACATCGCCTTCCAGAATCTTAAAAGTTTATATAGGGGTCTCAGTGGGGTTCAGCCACGTATACCGTCCAGATGGTCTCAACAACACATTGCTCTCTCAAGTCTGTGCCTGAGAAACAGCTTCTACTGCGGGAACAGTGGGCAGAAAGTACATTCCAAGGACAAGGGAGGGGTGAGGAGCTTCCAGTTGCCCGGGGCCAGCCCTCAGGTTAACCACCCGTCTGTCCTCCTGATGACCTCCTCCAACACAAGGCAGGAGCCCCGAATCCCTCAGCCTTTGAGTCTGTCCCTAACCCATCGAGTCTTTTGTTCACCAAATACTTACTAAGCACCTATTATGTGCCTGGCATTGTCAGGCATTGGGGAATGCAACAGTGAGAAAAACCAGGAGTGTCCCAGCCCTCCAGGGGCTCAGGGTCTGGTGGGGGAAGCAGACATTGAACTAATTATCACACAAATAAATACAGAAGTACAATGGCGACATCTGTTGTGCAGCGGAGCACATGGAACTGTGAGAGCTTACAGCAGGAGTTGTGACTTTGCAGGGAGAGGAATCCCAAAGAAGAGTAAGAGGGCTTTTGGGGCTGGTGGGGTGGAACAGAAGTGGGGATGGGAAAGAAAAGAAAAAATTATTTCCGTTTGACGTTATTATGTCCTGAGTGAAAGCCAGGACAGATAGTTGCCGCCTCTGGAGTTGAAATTGTGTTCGAAGTCTAATATGCTCACCTTCACAAATCTCTCAGAAAACTCCATTTGGAAGAGTCTGGAGAACTAATTTGTTAAATATACTTGCCGAAGGTAGATGAGAGGACAGATGAAATCTTATCCCTTTCAGCTGAGAAACACTCAGGCCTTGCTTGGCTCTGAGCACAAGAGAGGAGAATGGATTCTAACTGAATGTGTTTATCCTCTATCTGTTGGGCTTCCGCCAGGACCAAGTGAGCACAGAGTCTGACACAAACACGACTCGTCCTTTATTCCCTCAGCACCGTGGATTTAAATAAAGAGGGTGCACTGTGGTTATTGCTGTGTTTTTACACAGAATTAACAGTTTCTGGGGCTGAGTCGTTGTGTAAATCCTCTTAGTCACGGCGTGCTGAGACAGAATCACCTGAGTTACGACAGTGAGTTTTAACCGCGGCTGAGTCTTGGTCCTAAAGGAACGGTGCTTCAGGGCTGGGTCAGGCGCGCTGGTTTACTTTTGCTGTTTTGATCAGCTCTCTGCCTGCAGTAGACAATGAAAACCAATGGGAATGGGTCAGTTAAACTCATAAATACCAGGCTTATTCTATTAACAGACATAATAGCTATTAATTATCTTTCCTCTGAGGAGCAAAAGGGCATGTCCGGTCACCGCCATTATAACTCATGCTACGTGATGTTATACTAAGATATTAACAAATCTAGGCTGGGTCAGCCTTTCCTGATGCCTTAGGTGGGAAGCAGATTGGGGAAGGCCCTGAGTGGGCCACAGCACTGATCTGTGCACAGAAGACACCTCTATCTTGGTGTGTGGGCTCTCAAGAGGGACAAAGGCCATAACATTGTATATATCAGATCTGAATCTGGAAGGATCAAGGAACTGAGGGAATTTTTGACATCCCATGGGCCTCACAGGTGTGGTGTGTTCAGGTGTAAGAGAAGATTAGGACTGCTGTTTGTTTATTTATTTTTTGAGGAAGATTAGCCCTGAGCTAACTACTGCCAATCCTCCTCTTTTTGCTGAGGAAGACTGGCCTTGAGTTAACATTGGTGCCCATCTTCCTCTACTTTATACGTGGGACGCCTGCCACAGCATGGCTTTTGCCAAACGGTGCCATGTCCGCACCCGGGATCCAAACCGGTGAACCCCGGGCCGCCGAAGTGGGAACGTGCGCACTTAACCGCTATACCACCCAGCCGGCCCCAGGACTGCTGTTTAAAACAAAAAGAATTCCGGGTGGTGTTGCTATGGAGCGAGGCATTAGGATAGGCACCAGTGGTCCTGCCAGTGGCAAGAGGGCATGTGCATGTACACAGCGATACTAAAGATTCAGCTTCTCGATTTGTAGCTTTCTTTAATGATAATAATAAAAAAAACCTTAATGCACTTTAACTGTATGGAATGGTTGCGTTGTAGAAATTATGCTGTGGGCATGGCAGTTCGATCAGGACAATGAAGTTTCCCCTTTCTCTCTCCTACAGCTAATGGTTTTTGTAGAAAAGGACCAATTGATTTCTTTCTAAAATGTTGCTTCAGGGTGCAGAGACCTTTATAGGTTGTGTTCCCACTTATAGGAGAATTCTATAGTTTGAGTATAAATTATGTTAAATGTGGGCTTCATAATGGAGTTAAGGTTAAGTAAAGTTCTGACTTTCCTTAGGCTGCTTAAGTGTTCAGGCGGCCCCCGTGCTATCGAGACAGGAGCTACGTTAAAGAATGTTCAGAGTTGGGCATAGTAAGGAATGTGGGAGGCTCGGTCTAATGACATAACCATTAAGATGCAGAGGTGCGCCAGGCCCATATACCACTTTGGTTGGTGGCAGGACAAGTGTTATGGGTTGAACTGTGTCCCCGAAAAAGATATATTGGAATTCCTAACCCCTGGTACCTAGGATGGTGACCTTGTTGGGAAATAGGGTCTTTGCAGATATAATCAAGTTAAGATGAGGTCATGCTGGATTACAGGGGACCGTAAGTCCCATGACTGGTGTCCTTCTAAGAGAACACCATGTGAAGACAGAGACACAGGGAGAAGATGGCCCTGTGATGGCGGAGGCAGAGATTGGCGAGATGCATCTAGAAACCAAGGAACGCCAAGGATTGCTGGCGGCCACCAGAAGCTGGAAGAGGCAAGGAAGGATTCTTGCCCACAGATTTCCGAGGGACACCTTGATTTTGGACTTCCAGCCTCCAAGTCTGTGAGACAATAAATTTCTGTTGTTTTAAGGCCCCCAGTTTGTGGTCCCTTGTTATGACAGCCCTAGAAACTAATACAACCGGTAGGTAATTTTCAGAGTCCAGTGAAAAATGAAAATACAAGGCCCTTGTTTAAAAATCAAGAATTTCCAGATAGTGACCATAGATTATTAAACTGAGCCAGGGGCTCCCCTGAGCCCTGAGCCTTGGGCCACTGCCCAGGTTGCAAGGCCATGAAGCTGGCCCTGGTTGCTAGGTTTTCAAAGTGTTGGACCCCGCCATAGCATGCAACAAGTGGTTGAAGTGAATTATTACAGTGTACACTGATCAACCACAGGAAACAAAGGCCACTCACTTCTTTTTCTGACGAATGGCTTGTGTATGTCACGTTAGCGACAAACAGAACCGCAAGAACTCCTGCAACAATCCTGAGACTGATCACTGTATTTCGGCGAGCAGATGCCCTCTGCGTCTTCCCTCCTGTTAAAAAATCAGACGGTTTTTAATTGCCAGATTATTAAGAAGCTGTTCTGACTGCTCCTGGGTCCTTGGGAAGTTTCCCATCCAGGCGCTAGTGAATATTAATTATGGAAATGAAATGTACATTTAACCCAAGAAAGTACTCACTGTAGAGAAATCTCATAGGGCAAGTCGTTGAAAGCCGATTTACTAAACGACCTATTCACCAAATGATCTATTTGCCTAATGACCACTTTGCCGAATGACCAATTTCCTAAAAGCCAATTTGCTGAAAATCAGTTGAGGGGATGTCCTGCTTATCAATAACCGATGGTCAAACACACCTTACCCCAGGCTTGCAATGCACTATGGGAGGGGGTGGGAGGGCAAATAGTTGTAGCCAAACTCGCAAACTTAAAAAAAAAATCCTCAATAATTTGGTGAATTGGTCATTCATTTAATTAGTTTTCTGCAAAATGGCTGCTTCCTGTGTATTCACCAGAAGATGGTGGGCAGTGGCTTGGAAGGTGGGAGAAGGGTGCAGGAAGCTGTTCTCTGCTCTCCGTGTCCACGAGCTGTGGTTGCCCTCAGCACTCTGGAAAGTCATCGGGGGTATCCAAGTTTCTCCAGGCAGAAGAAACGCTGGCCAGTGTTTGCAAAACAACTGAATTCCCAGAGATGA